GTCGGTGAGCAAATCAGTTAAAAATAAATGCATATTATAAGAACAAAATAAAGTGTTTTTTATCCTTGCATGCACGTTAAACTGTTTTTGGAACTCCTAAAACAAAAATAGGAACATTTCAAATGCTATGATAGGGGCTCTTTAATCAACTTCAGGGCAGCTCTCTATAATACAACTTCCTGTTTCTTTTTTACTGCATATTTTGCATGTTGGTTGCAAACACATGACTTAGATTTGGTGGACAAAAGTTCTTTAAAGGGGTCCTATTATGCTTTTTTTCATTTTCAACTTTATTTAGTGTGTAATTTGCAATTTGACCATTAAATCCAAATGATCTGGGAATATGCACCAATTTCACAATGATTTCAATGGGATTCACTGTGCTGACCAACAGAACGCTGCTTGCGTTCACTTCCTGTTTCAGTTTTGTAAGTTTGTTTCTTTATTTCACATGTAAAGAAAACATCTTAAAGATGTTGTTAACTTTTTGATTCAGTTTTAAATGTTCTGTTGGTTTTATTTTATCCCAGCTTTTGTGTAGTGATAGAAAAATGAAACAGGAGTGCTTCTGACCAGTGTTGTTTACATCTTGCAAAATGGTCTATAATATAGTTATACAATACACCCTTAATGATTAGGTTTCAAGAATCACCCTTGGCCTTTTTCTGATTTTGAATCAAATGTACTAACCCTGAATCATTTTGGATTTTTAATGCCACCCAAAACTATAAAAATTTATTTAATTCAGAAATACGAAAACAAGAATCTTAAAATAAATGGGTGCAGTCAAGTCACTGTAAGTGTGAACTTTTTTTAAATAAATAGATCCAGACCTTCTTGTCATTGTGCCATGATTGTACAGTAACATGGGTGTGAAACAGACTTACTTTGACAGCATCAGGAGGATTGAACTGAAGCATGCCAGAAGGCCGACTGAAAGATGAGGAGAGTCCGAACTACAAAAAGGAGGCGGGATGGTCTGGATGTTCTCCATCTGAGGAAGTTCGATTTTTCTGCAAACTACAAGAGAAAGAAATTCAACAGATTCAAATCATATAAGACAAACGATCAAAAACAAAAGACAAAAACTACTTACATGACATTGAGGAAATCTTCCAGATCTACAAGTAACAGTTAAAGAAATTATTATGATCATGATTCATTCTTGCTGTTTTCAGTGTTTATCTGGATTCTGGACCGACTCGATTCCAAAAGCACATAAAAATGGGCCAAACTGTAAAAATAAGGATACTGAAGGACTCGCAGACGTTGGTGTCCAGGTCGTACAGACAGCTGCACAGCTCTCGCGGGTCAGAGGTGAAGCCCGATAACTGTAAATTAAAAGATAAATGTCAATAACTATTGTAATTTTTACCTAAAACTCTTTCGTATAGTTTGAATAGTTTTCGTAACTGAAAAAAGCTTAAATAAAATAAAATGTAAATATTAGATGAAATGGAAACTTAGACAAATTCAAATAAATAGTACATATTAAAAACTGAAATAAAACTTATTAAATCTATATAGAAATATAAAACTAATACAAATGTCAAAAGCACATAACAAAATTAATAACAAAACCAAAAATACAATTAAAAGCTATATAATAAATACAATAATATTATATAATTAATACTTAAATGACAAAGCATTTTCTATGAAATAAAGAAGTGATTCGAAATAATTTCATTCTTTTAATGTAAGTTAAATATTTGTGATTAAATTAACAGACCTAGAATTTTGTGTTTAGAAGTTTGTGAACTATCCAAAGACAGTCTAATTCAACGGCAGACATGTTTGATTGTCCAAATGACAGTGTAGTCGAAGCTGTGGGTTAGTCCACTCACCCACATGGCATCATCGTTCACCACCACCAGAGCAAACTCATGCCTTTTGTCAATCTTGTGCTTGGTTCTCACAAACATCTCAATCATTTTCTGTGAAATATTTAAGGCGTTTGTCTTGGATCTGGAAATGCAAATCATTTACATAATGCAATACATTTATAGAAATATATATTTGTAATTTCAAATAGAATATAATGCCGTTCAAAAAGATTTAGATCGATAAGATTTTCTCATTTTTTAAAAAAGAAGTCTCTTCTGCTCACCAAGGCTGCATTTATTTGATCCAAATACAGCAAAAACAGTAATATTGTGAATATATATAATTTTTAAGTAATAATATATCCTATTTGAATACATTTCAAATTGTAATTTATTCCTGTGTAAAGCTAAATTTTCAGCATCATTACTCAAGTCTTCAGTGTCACATGATCCTTCAGAAATCATTCTAATATGATGATTTGATGCTCAAGAAATATTCTTATTATTATCAATGTTGAAAATAAAGTTCAGAAGGACAGCATTTACATTATAAATGTCTTTAATGTAACTTTTGTAAATCAATTGAATGCATTTTTGTTGAATAAAAGTATTAATTAATTTATTTCTCACTGACCCCTAACTTCTGAACAGTAGTGTATAATGATACAAAAGCTTTCCATTTCAGATAAATGCTGTTCTTTTTAACTTTCTGTTCATCAAAGAATCCTGAAAAAAAAAAAATAAACACTGAATAATTTCTTGAATTAATAATAAATGTTTCTTGTCCAGGCAAATCAGCATTGGAATTATTTCTAAAGGATCATGTGACACTGAAGACTGGAGTAACGATGCTGAAAATTCAGCTTTGATCACAGGAATAAATTCCATTTTCAAATAGAATCGAAATTATTTAAAATTGTAAACAAATATTTCACAATATTAGAGTTTTTACTGTATTTTGGATCAAATAAATGCAGCATTAGTGAGCAGAAGAGACTGCTTTTGAAAACATGATAAAATCTTACTGATCTAAAACTTTTGTACGGTAGTGTAATATCAAGGAAAATAATTTAATAATAACAATAAATTAAAAAAAAAAATAGATATGAAATTACCCATTGAAGGACTCCAGTTTTGGTAGAGACATCTCCTCTGAAAGGTCCAAACAGATGATCTGTTTAAGAAAGATATAATTGAATGACAAAAGTATTTTCAGATGCACCAAATAATGTGAAGTTGTGTTTATTGCCACACGTACGACTTTCTCGGGGCAGTTGACCCGTGGTGCCCGCAGGTGTAACTCTGCTGATGGCGGGATCTGGGCGGCCATGGATGGCTGAGGGGGTTTAGGCCTTTCCTTCACTGCAGAAGCCAGCGTAGGCATACTGACTGTGCTGATTCCTGTCGCCGCTACAGGGGCAGGGGCAGGGGCAGTGGCAGGGGCAGCGGCTGGGATGGTGGTGGCAGATATTGGTGGGCTATCGGAGCTGGCCGCCTCTCCCTCACCCTCTACACGGCTGCCCACGGCCGGCTGCGGGGGGGAGGCCAGGCTACTGTTGTTCAGACTTCCAGTGCTGCTGCGCCGGTCCTCCGCACCCTCCGGATTGGACCGGGTCCTGGGTCTCAGGTCCATCATACGCTCCTCTCCATCTGCCTGGCCGGGCTCAGGGGTTTCCATCGCAACCACCTGACACCAACCCATAGACAGTAAACAACAGTAAAAAAAAAATACACATATATATATATATATATGTACATAAACCAAACATATACTAAAATACTGTATCTTTTTTTACTGTAATACATTTATTTTTTAACATTTTAAAGAATAAGGGTTAAGTAAACCCAAACAGTTCTCTGATGATTTCAATAAAAATGATTGACAGTAATAACATGATAATAATACAAAACAAACAAGTTTGTTTCTAGAAGAAAATTGCGTCAACGTCCACCTTAAGTAAGGCAGATCAATATATTGTTGAATATTAAATATCCCCAACTAAGCAAGCCAACAGAAAAGGAAACAGTGGCAAGAAACCAAAACTCCATCAGGGGCAGAATGGAGAAAAAAACCTTGGGAGAAACCAGGCTGAGTCTGGGGCCAGTTCTTCTCTGGCCAACGAAGGAACAGTGTATGATTAGTATTAAATTCGTATTCTAATAAGACTTATCTTAAAATCTAAACCTAAATTAGCTTTTTAAAGGTACGTTTTTAAATATTTGTTTGAATAAAGCAAAAACCGTAATTTAATAAACATAAGAGACATGTAAAGTTAACAGGCAGCACAAGTACAATAGCTAAATAACGTAAAACAATAACTTACCGAACATACAATAGATGAAAATATGAGTTTAGTAGAGAAATAAATATTCTGCAACACTTCCTCGTTCCCTTCTGTGTCGTTGACTTTCAGAGGCGAGTTCTGAAGGGTGTTTCTGTTCTTTGACGCCTCTAGCGGACTGGAAGAACGATGCAAGCCCAGCTTCTGAAAAGAAAAAGTATTCTCTCCGTTGCGTTTTTCTTTTAGTTGAGACACTATTATGTGCTATGATATGCGGAATACCTTATTTCGCAAATAGTTTGTTTATGAAAATAAAATTTTTTATACAATGTAACGTACTTGCTCTGACGTCAATTTTGGATGAAGAGTTTTGTTGTTGTCGTTTCGTTGCACACGTAGAATGTGAAGATTGATTGGTCGGTGCGGTGTTTGTCTCGCCCCTCCTCCACTTTGATTGGACGGCTGGATTAAAAAGTGACGTTCAACGACCGGTAAAAAACGCCTCGCGCTGTGCCTGCGATTTTGCAGCTACGACTCTTTTTCTCCATCATCACCAGCCTACTAAACTAAATAGAAATCAAGTCAGAGAAAACAATAAACAGAGAAAAAAGCATCGGCTGATAACACTTCATAATAAACAAAAAATGTATTTACATTAGTTTAACCCTCTGCATTAGTTAACATGGACATAGCCTATTTCTACCGAGTTAATGTAGCATTTAATACTACATTTTTAAGATCAAAAGTTGTATCTGTTTGCAATGGTTAATGCTCTGTGAACAATTAATAGCCTAACATTTTAAAGTAAAGTTTTACCACCTCTTGACCACGTAGGTAGGCTACATAAAATGTCAGTTTGGATAACCTGAATGTCTGAATTACAAAACAACTCCTATAATTTATCATGTTACAAATCTTATAGAAACAATTAATAGACAGTTGAAGCTTCAGATTCTCTATTTGAATGATAATCCCTGAACTGTGATTGTTTATCCTGAATAATCTAATTACAGCTTCTCCTGTAGGCTTAGCATACAGAATTGTTTAGTCTTCCATTTTCATTAAAACCATGTTACCAAATATTAGCACTGTAGTAGGCTACTGTAGTAATCAATACAAAACTGTAGTCTAAAATACTTTATTTATAAACAATAAGATTTATCAAAAAAAAATCTTCTATAGCCTAGAGAAAGAGTCAAAAAATAAACCCAACAGGAAAAGATCTAAAAAGACAGTGGGTGGAGACGACAATGAAGAGAAGAGATGTGTGGAGCAGAGAGCAGGTTTAGCCCAGTAATGTGGAGAAGAAGCGTGTTTGATCAGGATGTGCTGAAGCTCACGGCATACACACTTCACACAAGCTTCTGAAGCTCAGCGAGCAGAAGACACAGAGACAGCACTGGACCACTCTTTCATTCAGGACAGGACCTCAACCAAGATCAGACAAATGACACAGGTGAGTTTCTGGGATGTACTCTCAGTCTGATCCAAAAAGCAGAAAAATAGTTTTTGTTTTTAATAACATGTTAATGCAACCTTGTAAAAAACAGTATTTATTTTTAGTAATGATCATATTTTAATAACGGTTTAAATGATGAAATGTCAAGCCAAGGGAATTTAGAATAGTCACCAGTTTCAAACCAAACTCAATTCACTGGAAGAAACATTTACAGCAAAAGAGGTCCTGAAACCAAATGATATTTATATCTGAATACTGAGAACAACAGTTTGAGAGCTACTTTTTCACAGTAAGCTCCACAATGCGGCTGTAGGAAGTGCAGTTACAGGATGCCTGTTTCCTCCTCCTCCCCTCAGAACAAAAGAGTGCAGAAAACATCAACACCCATATTGTTTTATAGGCATCTTCAACAGTTTGTTTTGATTGTACAAAGAAAAAAAAATCTACATTATAGAACAATGTAGATATATGCTCCAAATGAAACTATTCGGACTCATGGTTGTCATGTTAGTGGAACATTCAGAGTGAATTGAACTACGCCTGTGATACAATAGTCAATGAATGTCATTGAATGACATTTCTGTCATTTAATGGGGTGGTGATGGCACGGTGGATGAGATACATGCCTTTGGTGTGAGAGACCCGGGTTCGAATCCACTATGAGACACCAATGTGTCTCTGAGCAAGACACTTAACCCCTAGTTGCAACCTCTGACATATATAGCAATTGTAAGTCGCTTTGGATGAAAGCAACAGCTAAATTTAAATGTCATTGAATTTAGTTCTGAGCTCTAGCATCCTTTGTTTGCAGATGCTACTTGGATTATATTGAATGAAAGTGTTTAAATACTTATTTTAGGCCAGTTGATCAGTAGCACCCCATTGAAGTACACGAGATCAGGAGGCGGAGTTGGATCCAGATCTAAGGGGTGGAGATGGGTAGGATTAGGGGTGGGGTTAGGGATCAGGGGGTGGGGTTGATGATAAGGGGCAGAGATGGGTAGGATTAGGGGTGGGGTTAGTGATCAGGGGGTGGGGTTAGGGATCAGGGGGCAGAAATGGGTAGGATTAGGGGTGGGGTTAGGGATCAGGGGGTGGGGTTAGCGATAAGGAGGCAGAGATGGGTAGGATTAGGGATAAGGGGGCAGAGATGGGTAGGATTAGGGGTGGGGTTAGGGATAAGGGGGCAGAGATGGGTAGGATTAGGGGTGGGGTTAGGGATCAGGGGGCAGAGATGGGTAGGATTAGGGGTGGGGTTAGGGATAAGGGGGCAGAGATGGGTAGGATTAGGGGTGGGGTTAGCAATCAGGGGGCAGAGATGGGTAGTATTAGGGGTGGGGTTAGGGATCAGGGGGCAGAGATGGGTAGGATTAGGGGTGGGGTTAGCAATCAGGGGGCAGAGATGGGTAGGATTAGGGGTGGGGTTGGGGATCAGGGGGCAGAGATGTGTAGGATTAGGGGTGGGGTTAGGGATCAGGGGCGGAAATGGGTATGATTAGGGGTGGGGTTAGGGATCAGGGGGTGAAGATGTGTATGATTAGGGGTGGGGTTAGCGATCAAGAGGCAGAGTTGAAACCAGATCAAAGGGGTAGAGATGGGTAGGATTTGGGATCAGGGGGTGGGGTTAAGGGATCGGGGAGAGATGGGTAGGATTAAGGGTGAGGTTAGGGATCAGGGGGCGAAGATGGGTATGATTAGGGGTGGGGTTAGGGATCAAGGGGCGGAGTTGGATCCAGATCTAAGGGATAGAGATGGGTTGTATCAGGGTGTGGGGTTAGGGATCAGGGGGCGGAGATAGGTTCGATTAGGGTTAGGGTTCGGGATCGGGGGCTGAGATGGGTAGGATTAGGGGTGGGATTAGGGATCAGGGGCTGGGATGGGTAGGATTAGGGGTGCGGTTAGGGATCAGGGGGCGGAGATTGGCAGGTTTAGGTATATGTAAGGTGGGAGGAGTTGGATCCAGATCTAAATTTTGTGTTCTACAGTGAGGACCATCTCCAGTTGATATGTGTCATTCCACCTAACCCAACTTAGCTCAATATATCTGAAGTAAGTAAAGACTGGTTTTGCACATTATTTTACACAAGCGATACGTTCCAGCAGAGATCGGACAGTCTGGAGTCAGCGGACTCCGAGCTGGCACAGTGTGAGACGGAGGTGAGCACTTTACTGCAGATCATTTCTGAGCTCAACAGGAAGATGGACTGCCTACAAATACCACGGTAATGCCCGTCTCAATCAATTGCAAACGATGTAGTTTTGCTCTAACATGTACAGTATGTGAAAGGGTCTGTGTTCTCAGAGAGATGAAACCTCCTGAGGGTCACGTGTGTGTCGATGGGTGCGTCCCGCAGCAGGGCTTGAGATCTTCAGCCTGCAGCCTCACAGCGGCGGACGCTGGCAAAGTATCTGTGGAGACCAAGACCAAGAACATCTGCAGGGACTCAGAAGGCACGTTCTGTTTATGCAATGCCTCATCGTCCATCACAGTAAATGCTGTGTCAGAACGGACAGCCTGCTATTTACCAGACTATTGGTCCTGCCAGACTTTTGTTTCCATATGCAGAACCACTTATTAAACTTTAACTTCAACATTTCCTATACACATGCAAGTATGTTTTTCTAAATCAAGACTTTTATAAATTTTTTTTCAAAGGAAAAATAAACTAAAAATCACTGAATTTATGAATTGTGTTTATAATGGAGTGCAAGCAACTAATGTTTAATTATACTAATTTGAATAAAAACATTGTTCATAAAAAATCTAGGAATTTGATGTTAAAAATAGTGATGTTTTGCAACATTTTCTTTAGATTTTTTTGTAAGAATGAAATGGATGGATTGGGAGAAAAACTAGGTGTATTATTATAAAGAATTATAATAATAATTAATAATACAAGTTATTACATTCATTTCGAACATTATTCAACATTATTTGCTGAATGTTTCCTCCCAACTTCATCCATATTCGTTCTTACAAAAAAAACCTCACAAAATAAAATAACACTAATAATAAAAAACATGCTATTGTATTCATATTTATATAATTGTAATATAATATTTGTATACATACTAAAATTGCATAATAATAACTTTCTAAAGAATAAAGTAATTTAATTTTTTAATAATTAAATAATCAAAAATACTGAATATTATAAATTGAGAATATTATTGTTATTAACTATAATACATTTCAACATTATTAGTGATGTTTTGCCACATTTTATTTTCTTTACTTTTTTAGTATTTTTTGAAAGTTAATTGTCTGAATAATTTTAATATAGCATAATTTGGAAATGTACATAAAAAGAAAAAAACCCTAAATGTGTTTTTCCGCAGGGGGCAGCAGTGATCTTTGGAACGATCTACAGAAGGTCCTCTCTGCTCTCGAGACCTCTAGCGGTCATGGGAGGAAGATGCTCAGGCTTCAAACGCAGAATTCGGAGATAGTTCAAGCACACCATCTCTCTGCAGCCCGGGAGAGCTGGGTGAAGGCCACACAGGTGCTCATCCAGCCTCTCGCAGTAGCATGCATGCACTCGACTGCGTCTGAACTCCCTCAGGCTCTGATCTCTGTAATCTGATCCAGGTGCTGGAGGAGATGGAGAGCGATTTGGGGATCTCATACCCCTCTGCTCTTCCCCCTGATGAGAGACGTCAGTATCAGCGGGATGTTCTCTCACTGTACAAACACAACCAAGACCTCAACACCTCTTTGAAGAGCCATCAGGAAGAGCTTATAGAAGCCGAAAGTTTGTTGATTGATCTTGAGGACGAGAAAAAGTGGCTGATGGAAAAGGTTGATTGGGAAATTCCCAATTTTTACATATTAGAGCTGGTCACATTAGATATAGTGAATATTTTAAAAGTATACTAGAATATGATTGCGTATATAATTATATTAAAATATATTTCAATATTAATAGTTCATATGCCACTGAAACATTTTAAATAAGTTAAAAAGTCTTCAAGTAAGACATTTGATGAAATAATAAATGCTCATTAGGTATTTTTAAATTTTCTAACTTTCACTGTTGTTGAACTCATCTTTTGGCAGTTAGTGGACCTGAAGAGGAAGTGGCTGTACGGAGTGAGTCGTTCTCCTCCTGTTAGTCCATCATTGTCCTCTAGTCGAACTTCGAGCCCTTCCTTTTCCTCTCCTCCATATCCTGGATCCCCTCTGCTGTCCCGCAAACTGCCTGGCTCCAGGCCGGACTCCCCTTCATCTCCCTGCACCGTTGATTCTGTGCTTCAGGCCGAGATAGAAAAGCTGCAGAGGTGAGAGATTAATCGATTTATTCATCAGTACTCACTTCTTGAATCCATTCCCTCCTCTCTCTCCCAGATAATCACTGACCATTAGTCCAATAATAAGATCTCAAAATAAATAAATAAATAAATAAATACATAAGGATGCAAAACAGGGCATTTTGGATGGTTATTGACTGGTTGGTCAGGTGTTCTGAGTGGCTATGCGGTTGCTAGGCTGTTCTCGATGGTTGCTATAGGGTAATTTCTCACTGTCAAAATTTAAAAGAGTCCACCCTCAAGTCTTTGTTGTTCTGATCACTATATAGCTAGCCCACCTTTACTGTTAGACTATAGGATTTCTTTGCCTTGTCTGCCCAGCCAAAATCATGTAAAAGATAAATAATTTGAGGTGTCATTCATATTCGCACTATATATATTTGTGTTATATTTGTGTGTGTGTGATGTACATCCAAGTTAAACGGATTATAGAAAAAGACCTGATCTGAAGATCTGAATGTGACCTTGTTATTTTGACATTTAAATGAACAATTACGAGGTCAAAAAACAAACAATTTTTTTTTTTTAATACATGGATAACAGATAGGGTGAATTTTTATTTCTTGCCGAATACCAGCTTAAAGGGATAGTTCGCTTTGAAATAAATTTTTGGTGTGTTTTAGCTTACCTCGAGGGCATCCAAGATGTAGGTGTCTTTGTTTCCTCAGTATTTTCAATTTTTACATTTTGAGGTCAAACCGTTCTTGTCTGTCAGTCATATAATGCAGGTCTATGGTCACCACCTCAAAGAGCATGCACAGAGAAGTCCAAATTAAAGATGATTTAATGACTTGTAAATGTAAGTACACATTGATGGCCTAAGACACGAAACGAGCGGTTTGTGTGAAAAAATGAACAGTATTTATCATTTTTACATCTTGTAACCACAGCCATGTCCGTCATCTGAGGGTGCGGGCGCTTTGGTCTGCGCAAGCGCAGGAAATGATCTCTTCGGAAGCAAAGATCATTTCCGATCATTTCTCTGCTTCCGAAGAGATCATTTCTGGCGCTTGCGCAGACCAAAGTGCCCGCGCCCTCAGATCACTTGGATGTGGCTGTGGTTACAAGAGGTAAAAACGATATAAATACTCTCGTATTTTCTCATACAAACCGTTTTGTGCCTTTGGCCATCAATGTGTACTTACATTTATGAGTCTATAAATCAACTTTAATTTTTAACTTCTCTGTGCATGCTCTTTGAGGTGGTGACCATAGACCTCCATTATGTGACTGACAGACAAGAACGGTTTGACCTAAAAATATCAAAATTGAAAATACTGTGGAAACAAAGACACCAACATCTTGGATGCCCTTGAGGTAAGCTAAAACACGCCAAAAATGTATTTCAAGGTAAACTATCCCTTTAATACTTTGAGTTAGGGTGTTGGTCAAATAGTTAGGCCTTAGTAAGCCGTAATCTTTGTATACGTTTGAAAGGCTGGAACTGCTGAATCTCTGACAAGTGTGCTTTGTTTGAGCAGGTGCCTGGAGCGACTGAAAGCTCGGAATGAGCGCCTGAATGGCGCACTGGTCAGGAGGAAAGGAGAATCAGAGCAGCTGAGCATGAGTCTTAGCCGACAGGAGGCAGACAGCTCGGCTCTACACATGGCTCTCGCATACTGGTGTGCTGCTGTCTTCACCTCTGTCTCCCACTGCATGAGCCAAAAACTGCCACTGATCCAGGATCAGGGTTTAGACCCTTTGGCATATCACGATTGCTTCTAGAACGGATACTGAAACAGTTTACCTGACTCTTTTTGGTATTGTAAACCTTGACCTTTGGCCCCTAAGATTGGCACTGGGAGCGTGTGTGTGTGTGTGTGTGTGAATGGTATGCTGATAATGGCTTTTTGATTGACAGTGAGGAGTGTGAGGAGGCTTACAGTGATCTACTATCCCTGTACGAAGCCAGAAAACAACAGAACGCAGGTGCTGCACACTCTTTGAATTACAGCTCATGTGACACAAACACATTAATGTACAACCACACACACACACACACAAATACAGTGTTGTTTTTCATACAGAACAAATAAGCACACCGCAGTCTGACTTCTCAGAAGTGAACACGGACAAAGGCGAGCCATCCTCCAGTCCACTAGAGAGCAGCGCTGAGAACAGAACAAACAGGTTGTTGCATCATATTTACTGTTGCACGAGATATGCGAAATGCAACGGGAATCAGCAAAACAAAAAAATTCACTGGAAGGACTTGAGATGGTAGAGACATATTCTTTTGACACCATCACCAATTTGCAGTGCTGACCAATAGCATTCATCTTGGTCCGGCTCTGACCCGTGTGGGCGTTTCAGACATAGATATCTATATAAAGGCTAGATATCTCGTCCGTGCTGCTGGCCAATGGAGGTCGACGTCAGCACCTGGCGGCCATCTTGTCACAGGCAGCTCGCTCACTGGTAACATTGTTTTGATGGTGCATGTACTTTTTAAATCACCGTAACTTGCTCAATTTTCGACCGATTTTCAAACGGTCTGGTTTGTTATAAACAGGAGAGATGTAGTTATGATACTGCATACTTATGAATAATAAGTGTATAAATAAATAATTATCCAGAATTATAGCCACGTTAATAACGTTTGTAAGGAACCAAACCGTTTGTAAATCCGTCAAGATTTCAACGAGATAAGAGTATTTCTTACATCAGATACCACAGAGCCCGCCAGAAAGCCTGTGTGTGACAAGATGGCCGCCGGTGATGACGATAAATACTCCGCTGTGAGAAATATAGCCTTTACATTGATATCTATGGTTTCAGAGACATGTTTTAGCACGTTGATCTGTCAGTCGTGGCTCTTTCATGCGGAGAACTCTGCTCATGTGTTTAGAATTTGCATAAAATTGCATTGAAAAGTTAATGACCAAATGTATCATTACAAAAGTTCACAATGCTGTTGCAGATGAAATATAATGTGGATAACATTGAATAAATATCTTTTAATAAGGTTAGATACTGATAATTAATCACTCAAACCCCTCTATTTAAACCTCTATGAAACCGTCAAGACTCGAACATTTGCCATGTTTGTAGTTAAACACTTTTTATTCATGTTTGTAGTTTTAATCGAAATTTCGTCCAACACGCAATGCGTTGTGGGAAATATTAGCCGTTAGAGTGTGCACGGATCTGCACTTCGAATTTCTAACCGGAAAAAGTCTAACAATTTCTAACAATTTGGGACACTCTAATTCTAATTTTGAATACTATTTAGGATGGATAGTATGCAAATTAATATGCAGTGACAGTTTTTTTTTACACTTTACTTTCAGCTTAAAAATGTATTTTAAAATACCTCTGTTTCTCTAGTGTTAGGTAATCCATTTATGCACATTTGCATACTATTTTCAATGCAAATAGGTATCCAGCTCAAATCTGAGAGTAAATATCTTACCAAAGCTTTAATCTAATTTTAAATCCTAATTAGATTAATTACAAGGGCTTAAATTGCAATTACCTTCCCAAACCAATTCAATCAATCCACTTATTTTGGTCTGATAATGAAACAGACGTCATCTTAGTTCTGAAAAGCCTCTCTCTCTCTTTTTCTGTACACTCCAGCTTATCGGGACAGGAGTTTGAGGGCCAGGCTGGTGTAATTCTCCAGAGGATCGCCAGGCTGAAACAGGACAGGGCCGCAATGTGTATCCCGCAGCGGGTCAAAGCAGGAGAGGGCAAGATCAGTCCTGACACTGGCACGCTTACAGGGACCAGAGGTCGCACCAGTTCACTTTCCAAAAACACTAAAGAAGAGAAAGCGGTTCTACTGTATGAGCTGGTGACAGTCAGGGTGGGCAATTTTGAAAAGTTCACCCCTACTTCCTTTATTCAGAACATGTTTTATACTTAAAGGTACAATATGCAGGATTTTTGCAGTAAAATATCCAAAAAGCACAAGGCCAATGTTATATATTTTGTTTGGTTGATTACTTACAATATCACAAATGTTTCCAACTATTTGTAAATCGTGAGAAAATTGCGATTTTTAACCAAGGAAATGGGGCGTGTGAGCAGCGGTGAGGAGTCGCCTGTCAATGACGTCATATCCACGTTACCCCCGGTTTCCGCCAGGTTTGACCTCGTCCTGCAGTAGTAACCATGGCGACAGACGTGGACAACTGGGTCGGTTATGACCATTATGCGTGCTCAACAGCGTGAGCGTCGCTAGCAGGGTTTTATTCAAACATTATGGACCATGGCAAGCAGACTTTGAGACAAAAAGCGGACTAAAACGAAGATCAACATCTTTCCAGATGCCGAGAGCTCCACGTCCGCAACTAACTTGACTCGACAGAGACGCAAGTGCTGCATGTTACTTGAGCAAATCAATGTATATAAAACTAAACAGTGTTATATATTTCAACATGATGAACAGTTAGAATATGATCTGTATGTTATTCTCTAATGTTAATCTAGCTTTATACAGCCAACAAACAACCCAACTTACAACATTCAATACACACAAATGGCGTTTAGTGTGATAGTGAAACTGTTAGAGCAAGTGAAGCAGCGCTGTGTTACCTCAAGTTTAATTCCTCTAATAAACTGACCTGTGTGAGTAATTCAGCGTGTAGTTTGGTAAAATGTCCTTATTCCTTTATAGCCGCGGGACTCGCGTAGCATGTGGCGCTGGTATAACTTAAGTCTAGCAATCGCACCCTGCTTCATACTACAGTCATGTAAAAAAAAAAATCAATGTATTCACTCATCCAAAAAAGATCCATCAGCTTGACGACAAGATCCATAATTCTGCTTAATGCGGAATGTACGGCATTAAAGGACAACTCCGGTGCAAAATGAACCTTTGGTCTAATTACACATTGTTACCTAGTCAACCGTTATCTGAGATTCGTTTTCATGATTGCCGAATGTAAATAGTTTTATCTCTAAAAACAGTTTAGCCTATAACGCTAGTATAATGCTAGTATATAGGGCATAGAGTAATGACAAATAAAAATCGCTTGCTATTATCACTAACAAGGCTCAAAATAGCCCCACACTAACACGACAGCATAACAAGGGTCCCTACATTCAAACCGAAGCATTGAGAACTTTGTCAGTGTCCATGCAGTTTAATAAGAAGATATTTTATACACACAGTCAACTTCGCGGATACAGGAAGAAGCCATCGTTGAAAAATAGTCTCTACCAGTCGATCTACGAACGCCGATCCTTGTGCGATGAACTGAGCAGAATCTCATATGGTCCATTGTTTCCAGAAGAAACACAAACACAAACCGTTTTCTTCTCTTCAATATGTACACGTAGCCTACTGTTCACGCTCACCTTATCACCTTATTCACATCTCACCAGCGCACTTGGATCGGCGTTCTTGATCGACTGGTAGAGACTATTTTTCCAAGATGGCTTCTTCCTGTATTCGCGAAGTTGACTGTGTGTATAAAATATCTTCTTATTAAACTGCATGGACACTGACAAAGTTCTCAATGCTTCGGTTTGAATGTAGGGACCCTTGTTATGCTGTCGTGTTAGTGTGGGGCTATTTTGAGCCTTGTTAGTGATAATAGCAAGCGATTTTTATTTGTCATTACTCTATGCCCTATATACTAGCATTATACTAGCGTTATAGGCTAAACTGTTTTTAGAGATAAAACTATTTACATTCGGCAATCATGAAAACAAATCTCAGATAACGGTTGACTAGGTAACAATGTGTAATTAGACTAAAGGTTCATTTTGCGCCAGAGTTGTCCTTTACGCCTTTGTTATTGTAAGAGGTTAGCGACCCCTGGTGGCGAAACAATCTTGCATATTGTATCTTTAATACTTTATATATATATATATATATATATGTCATGAGTGTGATGCAATGCAGTTTTATCATTATTTACTTCACAGTTGAAATGTACAGTTTCTCGTAACTTTAATCTTACTCAGGAGGAGATGTCAGAGATGCGTGGGAATCTTCGGCTTCTGGAAAAAGAGAGACGGTGTTTGGACCTGGCGCTGATGGTCCAGAGTGCCCAAGATTCTGCTGGCGCTCTGATCCTGGACAGTCTGCGGGATGAGTTGGAGGAGAGGAGAGCCACCCAGCAGGTGCTTTGACATCATATGAGAAAAAATAGGAATGACCTTAAAGCTTATTTTTCTTCATAAGCCTGCACAATGTGATATCTTCACCTCTGACTGTTTAGGACAGTGGTGTTCAATCCTGTTCCTGGAGGGCCACTTTCCTGCAGAGTTTAGATTCAAGTTTCTAGCGATCCTGAAGGCCTCGATTAGCATGTCCAGGTGTGTTTAATTAGGGCTAGGGCTAAATTCTGCTGGAAGGTCACCCCCAGGTGCAGGACACCACTGGTTTATGTTTGCATGGTCTCAAAATGCAATATCATCTGGGTAATATGTGTCACGTTCGCGCTTACGAAAAGGAGAACTCAAGTGCAAAACAAGGAAGGTTTATTTACAATGAAAAATGGGTACAAAAACAAAAACCCACGAGGGGGGAAAACAGAATAAATGAACATGAAACAAACACTGGGTCAAGAATACAGGGAACGCCAACCAGGAACAGAGAAACATCTGACAATGACAACGAACCGACCAAGACTGCAAACATGAGGAGACTTAAAAAGGGAACAAATCAAGAGGGGAACAGGTGGAACAACTAAACACTAATCAGGTAACGAGTGGGAAGGATCAAACAATCACAGAAACACATGGCACAACAAAACAACACCCATGTGCAATACAAGACAGGACCAACATGTGACAATATGTTCAGCTTAAGTTTAAAGTGCCCTTATTATGCTTTTTCGAATATGACCTTTTATGCAGTTTGTAATATAGCTGTTTGCAAATGTAAAAGAGTTTTAAAGATCAAAGTGCAAGACAAAAAAAACGTATTGTCACCTAAAAGAAAGAATCGATTCTGAACCGTTGAAACGAGTCATCGGTAATTCCAGTCTCACTTCCTGTTACATACGTACATAACAATTTAACAAACTCTAATTATGCCAGCCAATGGTCTTCATTGACTGCCAGTGAAAAATGTCTACCTTGATCTGCCCTTAAACACTGTAGTTGTTGCTGAAATTAGAAGAGTTTGGTTTGTGATGTTGACATGTTGAGAAACCGCTGTTTTTACCACTGCGAATCCACTTTGCATGCACTTCAACAGGATGAGGACCCAACTGGAATTTATACATAAAAAGCAAGGCCAATATCACTGTATAGCCTGCCTCCAGAGCTGAAATGTAGATATGGTAATAGGTGTAATAATAAGCTGCAGTGTATATTATAAGAGATAATAATATACATTAACCTTGAATGCATATAAACCTATTGTTGGTGACTTCCAAAGCAAAATTAGGAACCTTTAACATAGCTTAATAGGGTCACTTTAATACTTCAGACCCTGAAATATTGACGTTACAATTGTTCTTGCAATTTCTGTAGTCAATTTGTCAATAGAAGGTTAGTCCAGCTGATCTAAGGCCCTGTTTACACCTGCTATTAAGATGTGTTTTGGTTGATCGGGTCCCAGGTAGACGAGAGAGACTCATGCCCGTTTACACCTGGTGTTTTAATCTGTCTCTTTTGTCCACTTTCAACCACTTCTGTCCTGATTTCTTCAAAGGGAGGTCTATGGGCGGGTAAATGTGTGTTTTTTTCTTTCGATCTAATGAACAAAATAAGCTCAAGCAATTTACATTTGAACGGGCCTGAAGATGATGGAAATCAGAGAATGTAAACGGACCTTTCGTTTCTGCTCTGACAATCTCAAGACCAATGCCGAACACAGTGAGTGTGTGTTAGAAATCAGGAATGGTGAGAGAACATTGTGCTTCGGATGTTTTTCGTCTTCAAACCAGACTTGGGTCTACAGCCAACAAAGTTTAAATTCAGCATGGCTAGTGCGCTTCCCGTAATGTTTAGCGTCATCCACTTGTGATCCGATCTACCAAAATGCATCTTAATACCAGGTGTATACCAGGTCTTAATACCAAAAGCACTGAAAAGTGACATACTTGGTCTCGATTGTAGAGAATTGCTGACAACCTGGCAAATATAGAAGTTGAAGGGGAAATTCCTGGTCCTCGCAATCGCTCTATCCTAAGAGAACTGCAAGCAGCTCTGCAAAGGTGAGAAAAAACATCAAAACACATACAAACCCATACAGTTCATGAAAAAAGACACATTACTTAACCTGTGGATGCTCTACCTCCTGTTGCAGGGAGCAATCACTGAAGAAGAGAGTGGCAGCTTTACGTGAGTCGCTGGACTCAGCGGTCACAGACAGCACCACTCAGAGGAGGGTCAACAGAGAAGAGAATGCACGTCTCTCCCGCTACTACAAGTAACCCAAAACCACATGAACTTTACATCACAACACTATCATTAATAACTATCTGAACAATTGTGTGTGTAGTCATATGATCACCCAGTTTATAACAAGAAGGTCTAATATACCTAGAGCAGGGGTCTCAGACTCTGTTACTAGAGAGCTACCATCCTGCAGATTTCAGCTCCAACCCCAGTCAAACACACCTGAACCAGATAATTAGGTGTGGGGTTGGAACTGAAGTCTGCAGGAAGGTAGCCCTCCAGGAGCTGACCTGGAAAAACGTATCCGTTAAAACTCTCTGACAATCCCAAGCCCTTTGCTAACAACTATCCTGTCATATATAATATATAACTGAGGCAAGCTGGTAAGAGATGTGCAGGTAAATCTCACTTACATGGCATCAAGAGGCACACTAGCAACTGATGCTAGTCAGAGGCGGACAGAGTACACAGCTTTATTACTTGAGTAAAAGTACAGATACCCCTTAATAAATTTTACTCAAGTACAAGTAAAAGTACTACTGTCAGATGTCTACTTAAGTATAAAGTACTGAAGTACTTGAGTATCAAGAGTACAAGAGTGCATTTTTCTAAATATTGCATTACTACTGCCACAGTGCTTACATTTATGGACAGAAATGTCCCACATGGAGTTATGAAAAAATGTTAATGTTCATTCCTTGGAGAACGTGAAAGGAATTGAAAGTAAAATCAAGTCATTTTCATCTTTTTACCATATTGCTTTAACATTTAATACATTTTCAGAAAATTCAGTAAATTGAAATAGTCTGGCGAAGTGGGGCTACGGGTCGGCACATTCCCGGGATGGACCTGCTGTGTCCTCATCCATTGTTTCGTTTCTTATCTAAATCTGACTATGGAGTTGACTTTGGCGGAAAGCTGAAGTTAATTGCTGATAGGCTGGCCCAATCAGTGGCGCCTGCACAATCCAATCATGTTTGAGAGGGAAACAACAACATTCAGGGTTTCCGAGATTTTTCATTTTTTTCTTCTTTTTTTTTTTCAAATTTTTTTAGAAGTAGTAACCGGTACTCACGGTTATGGATAGAAATGTAGTGGAGTAAAGAGTACAATATTTCCCTCTCAAATGTACTTGAGTAAAGTCATAAGTACTCTCCAAAAAGGATATTCGAGTAAAGTACAGATCCCTCAAAATTATACTTAAAGCTACAATACCTAAGATTTTATGCCGCTAGAGGGCGCTACATTCAAAACAACAACAACGGCTTTGCTTGATGACGCCGTGGAGGAACGCAGAATGATGGGAACTGTTGTTTTCAACTCCACCGTGGATAAATCATAGACAGTATAAATCAGTCAGACGGGAAATTAGTTGTCATGGATGAGGTAAAGTTCGATTTCTATAACTGTTGCGTTTAATGACATGCTTGTTTTTCATTAAACTGATATAACTGCAAGAAAAGTAAGGTTTAAAAGTAAATTAGTTATCACAGATGTTAGGGGAGAGCCGGGACGGTTGAAACACTTTTCAGATAAACGTCGTTTTCTAAGATACAGCCAACAGTTCACATTCCGAGAAGTATTCGCGGTGAATATGGCCTTGCGATTTTTCACATCATATGCATAGACAACAAGACATTCTAACAATAATACTAACTTAATTGTTTTGCATGGTTTACTGACATGCAATTTGCATACAGAACAAATTACAGGTGTTACTCGCCTGTCAAGTAAAACACATGCAAGGTCGGCGTCTCTTTCTAGTTAGAGTTTTTAACAAAGTTCTCTCCATTTAGGAAATGCCACACCGACGTTGAGCTGGTTTTATTTCTCTTGTCCCAAATTCTTCTTGGGTCGTTTGGTTGACCCGTTCGTTGACGTTTGCGTTTATGAGACTTGTCTTTGTAGACAGAACCAGGTGCAATCGCTAAAGAATAATTGTTCTCCATTCCATAACAAATGCGCGAAACAAGCTGATGTTTGTTGCTTGATAGACGCTAACGCACGACTGCAACTTCCGCTTTTGCAGGACTACACGCAGTACGAGCGGAAACCGAGGTAACACGGATATGACGCGATTTACTGGCGACTCCCAGCTCACACGCCCCGTTTCCTTGGTTAAAATCTCAATTTTCTCACGATTTAAAGGAGCAATGTGTGATTTTTAGCGACATCTAGTGGTTCGGTTGCGAGTTTGCACCAGGTTTGCACTAAGGGCTCAGCCCACTGCTCACCCCTCCCTTTCGAAGAAGCTACGGTTGCTAAAACGGGACAAACATCTCGTCAGCTGAGACAGCAGAGAATAGCCAGAGTAAGCCAAGAGTGTGAAACATTGTCACTGTTTCTGTACCACAGTCCATTATAAACCACATCATGGATACTGTTTACAAAGCCATAGTCAGGTGAGGATCAAGGGTTTTGATATATAATTTAATATAATAATAGTAATCAGCTGATTGTCTCACAAACGTAACCAGCAGCACATTTCTCCACACATACTGTAGCAAACCCATAATACAGCGAGGGAGCAGCTATATATTTTTTCTAACAGGGTAGTAATAGATTAGCTGGCTAATATGAGCTGTTACTGTGGCTGAGCTGGGACGCGTCCGCATCGCATGAGTCCAAAGGTCGGAAGTGCGCGCGCTGTTACAATCATGTCATCTCCGCATCCCATAGATACTATTTACTACACACAATAGGCTTTTTTCTCTGATTTTGAAAACTCTTCGTGATCGACTTTAGTGATCTAAAAGTCTCTATCGACGGCTTAGTGATTCCTGTAACGTACTGTTTTACGGTCAATGACATGAATACTAATCATCGGCTGTCTCACGAACGTAACAGCACATCTATCCCCAACATAACAAACCCATAACACAGCGAGGGAGAACTAAGTTACATGAAACAATCCCAACTACATATTTTACACCACTCACAAGGGAAAAGTCACTACTCACGGAGTGTAAGGCTAGCTTCCAGCTTTCCGCTACTTCTCTTTCAAGGTAGTGATGAAACGCGTTCTGTAGCGCTGTTTGTTCGCGTTCGGTTACGGTAGGAATATGACGTCACAACATGGCGACCTTCATAGAAGGGGATTCCCGCGGTTATGGAGCTATTAATGTCTCATTCTAAGGTAATAAAAACATTACGGTTAATTAAGTAAGTTCTTTATACACCACTGAAAACATAGTTATGGATGTCATATTGCATTTCTGTTAATAGATACTCAACTTTTTTACACATTGCACCTTTAAACATTGTTTGAAACATTTGGACAGTGGTGGAGGAAGTACTGAATCTCAGTACTTAAGTAAAAGTACAAATAACCAGATAACTATTTACTTTACAATGACAACCATACTTAAGTAAAAAGTAAAAAGTACCTGATTTTAAATGTACTTTAAGTATTAAAAGTAAAAGTACTTGCATAATTAATTTTCTTAATGTCTATTTTCTAATGATTAATAAAACATTTAATTCTAACTCATTCAACCTAATACTCCTATAATGATGTTCAATAATGATGGAAAAAAAAAATGTTGTCACCATTTCTGAAACAAGCTATATACACATCATGCTTATCCTTACTATATGTTAATAACTATGGCAGTAAACGCGATTCATTTATGGTGTAATTCTGAACCTCTTGGCTTGCCATAATCCTAACCAAACGTATTACACACGGTGCGTTTCCTATGCACGTAAAAACTAATTTTTGCGTATAAATTGCACTATAAACCAAACGCACTGCGTGCGAGACGCATTTAGTGTGACCGGGTTGATATATCTATGGCAACCAAACATCACTGGTGAGACAAACGTGCAACGAACGGACGGTCAGATTACGTTTTGGCAGGGGAAAAACTGATCAGAAAATGTAATGAAAAAGTAACAGAAGTTGTAGAAATGTAGTGGAGTAGAAAGTATAATAATTGCTGCAAAATGTAACGAAGTAAAAGTAAAAAGTATGCACTATTTATTCTACTTAAGTAAAGTAAAGATACGTGAAAAATGTACTTAAGTAAAGTAACGAAGTATTTGTACTTCGTTACATTCCACCACTGCATTTGGAATATTGTAAGTTATCATCTTAACTAAATATATAACACTGGCCTTGTGATTTTGGGATATTTTAATGCAAAAATCTTAGGTATTCCACCTTTAAGTACTGTACTCAAGTAAATGTACTCTGTTACTGTCCAGCTCTGATGCTTGTGACTGTCAGTGTCCTTGTTAGTGCATGCAATGCCCATGCTAGTTGATGTAGATTTGAATCTCGTTTGGAATGGTGTAAAAACTACAAGTTTCATTGGTGCCGTGACCCAGATGGGAGTGAAGTTTATGGGGATGAGTGTCAGTGTAAAGGCTGTGATAGTAAACCCTCACTCTCCTGGTCACAAGAGACTCACTAGCATTCTTGTTAGCGCCCACGACTCGCTTGAGTTGATGCTGGTTTGAATCCCACTCAGACTAGTGCGATCAGTTTTCTATTTCAAGTTAGCATTGACATTATCAGTGTACAGCTAAATGTCAACCAAATATGGGAATGCTAGGATCAATCACAAACATCTTTTTCAACAGTAAAATCTCAAGCACTTACAGAAGTTCTCGGAAAAAGCACCAGGAGCAGCTGTGGCGTCTGGAGAAGCAAATGGCAGTAATGAACGAACGTCACGCTGCCAAGGAGGCTGAGCTAAGTGCCACACTGGAAGCTATGAAGTCGACGAGAGAGGAGACCATACTCTAAAAGACGCTACAGCACAGTTCTCATTTCATTGACAAATATTTCCGAAGGCCAATGCCTGGTGGATTTTGAGTTTGAGGTTGGGTAATGATTGACTTAGAAATACTCAGCATATAATCCACTGAACTCCTAAAAACTAAATTGCCACTAAATTGTTGCCAAGGATGTGCCATTTAGCTCTTCAAAGGTTAATCTTTTACTGAGATATTATGTATAATTTGGTAGTAAAAAGTAAAGCCTTGCGTATTTTATTGGTTCATGGTGAGTATGTGCATTTTGTAAAATGTTTGCAACAACTTTTTATCACCTAATTAGAACCACCCAGGCTCCAAACTAACATTTGAGCAGTCGGTCTGGTGCCAATAAGTTCTACTGATGGCGTCACTGGCACCAGCACCTTATTTGGTGACGCTGGGGGAATTTGTTACCATAAAGGTAATTAAATGATATTACTATTGATTTAGATTAATAAGGGCAGTTAATTAACAACATCAACATGCAAAAATCTCATTTTATTGGGAATTGTTTTAGTATTCTTCTCTAATTGAATGTATCGTTGTTGTACTTTAGTATCATACCGACAGCATCAGGGATTATAAAAGGAGCGCTCTTTAATTGCTTTCTGTGTGATTCAGTTACAATTTGAGGAAAAGTTTTTGTTTTTCATGAGACTTCTTCTTCCTTCTTTTTCACATCCGAAATCACCCCTATACCCTTAAATAGTGCATCATTTGAGGGGACAGCCATTTGTAGTAGTGTCCAAAACCATAGTGGATGTTATTGAGTACACTCATTCTATCCCACATTGCACCGCGATAACAAATGTACAGCCGATGTACGCTCTACGGCTGTCTGAAATTAGCTTACTTGTTTTCATTCATTCTTTCAAGTAAACAGTATTAGACTAACGTAAGGAATAGGGATTGAGGGTTTAGGGGGCGATTTCAGATTCAGCAACTGGAAATGGCTAACAAGTCAATAAGTGCTCCCTTTCCCCCATCTACTGGTTATTACGTTAAAAATAACATTAAAAATGATGATTATTTAGAGCTATGAAGTGGTGAAAAAAGTGTAAAACTCTTGAAAGTCATGAAAAATGGCTTGAATTTCACTCTTAAAAGGTTGTACGAGGCCTGAGATGAGAAATGTAAAAACATTAGATTATTTCTGGCACAATACCATGGTTACAGTTAGCGTCGTTGTGGATTGATAAGCGCACAATGTTTCTCTTGGATTGCATATGTCAGCACTGTTTGATCTGTGGTTTATAACAGAGAATTGTTTGCCAGATTTGATTGCTTCTCACTAATTTTGCAGCCATGTTATTAATACTACGGCAAATTCAAAGGCTTTCTGAACGAATCTCTCAGCGCTGTCAAAATTTAGTCACAGACCAGCAGAAAAAAAGGTCACAAAAATGCGACCATTTTGTTGCAGTCTGGAGTCCTGCCACCAAAACTACTAACTAGTGTCGTCTGTCACATACGCAAAGTACTGAAAATCAATGTGTAAATAAATGTAAATCTTTACTTGCATTTTTATAACACTATGCGGTAAGTGTGTCCCATCAGGTAATCAAAGGTCATTTGGATAGGCTTGATATACGTAACTCAGCTCATGTGAGTGTACATTTTAAATACACATTTATAATGTATTATTCATTCATATTCATTGTGTGTTATAAGTATTATTCATTTCTTTATGTGTACGACTGTGTCTGTAAAAAATTGCAAGTGCATTTTATTTATCATTTACATTAAAGTTTTTGACACTTTAAATATTATGGTGAACTGGTAGTTTTCTGTATAAAAGCAGACAACAACACCAACAATAGGTGTATACACATTAGAAAAATACTATCTCAGCTTTTTTCATCTAAGTCACAATTGCGCTGACCGAGATCGTTATGCAATCGCTTTAACTCTGACACCCTCTCGTGTGAGACCTTTCCCTCTTTACGAAACAAAGCAGCTGCATAATCATTTTCATTTAAAAGCATTTCTCTTTGTGAGTCTCAGAAAAACAGATCACAGAAAATGGGTCAGTGTATGTCAGAAGTGGAGTGAGTTTCCCAGCGAGCATCACTCTTCCTGTGAAGATTCGGCCTCACCATCGCTCTCACAGTAGAAACGGGGGGGAAGGGAGGGACACACAATAGAGAGAGAGGTCAGAGGAGCCTGACTCGCACAATTGTCTTCGCTTTTCACTGATCCACGTCTTTCAGTCCTGCCCGGGCCAGCTGACTGCAGCTGTGGCAAAGGTTGAGTGTCACACCCCCAGGGTTAAAGGATTTGCTCTCTGTTGTAGGAGCTGGTGAATAAAGGGGGTCATGGGGTCACGTTAAACACAGACTCTGCCCTGAACACGCCTGCTGGGGAAGATGTGAGTTTTAGGGATCGTTTGGATAAAGATAATGATTATGTCTCTGATAGCTCTGTGCTGAATAAACTGCTCACTTCAGCTCTGAAGGGATGTGGAAAAACGTCATACTGAATGATGAAACAAGAACGTTCTTGTTTCATCACAGCCATAAAGTAATTTGTGGGTGATGATGATAAAATCTGTGGAAAAAACCCTCTTGACTTGCACTAAAGGAAGGACCCGAGGTGTGCACAGTCCAGAATCTCACTGAGACTTTGATCTAGAACCAGGTGTAGTTGAGACCAGACCCTCCGGGGGACAGACCCACACCAAAACTAGACCTCCCCAGATCCAGCCCCCAAGTATAATTTTTGTCCTAACATTCACTTAAAGGACAAGTTCAGTATTTTACACCCAAAGTCATGTTTTAAGATTGTTTCTGATGAACTAGAACGGTTAAAGGGTTAGTTCACCCAAAACTGAAAATTAAGTCATTAATTACTCACCCCCATGCTGTTCCAACCCCGTAAGACCTTCGTTCATCTTCGGAACACAAATAAAGATATTTTTGATTGAATCTGAGAGCTGGATCACTCTTCCATTGGCTTCCTAAGGGACTGGCTCTTGACGGCCCATAAAGTCATTAAAGAAAATGTTTAAATGTTCCATGTGCCTACAGCGGCTCAATTATAAGTTTATCAAGCGATGAGACTACTTTTTGTGCGAAAAAAACATAAATAACGGCTTTATTCGACTATTCCATTACTTCCTTATTGGCGCATGCGCGAGAACTGAGACGAGGACGTTCTCCTTCGACTTGTTACCGGCTGCTCACCGCTTAGGAGTTTTACCGCCCCCTATCGTATAAGATGATGTGCTGATATAGCTGGAAGTGCAAAACTTTCTGTTTACAAGCAGAGGAAGATGCGCGCTGTACATACGCTTTAAAATTAGCGTATTTTAAGCACTACAAGGTGCACTTAAAAGCCTTTAATCTTCTCAAAAAACGACAGTGTGCCTTATCATCATCTTATACGGTAGGGGGCGGTAAAACTCGTAAGCGGTGAGCAAGAAGTGGTCGAATGAGAACGTCCTCGTCTCAGTTCTCGCGCATGCGCCAATAAGGAAGTAATGGAATAGTGGAATAAAGTCGTTATTTATGTTTTTTTTCGCACAAAAAGTAGTCTCGTCGCTTGATAAACTTATAATTGAGCCGCTGTAGGCACATGGAACATTTAAACATTTTCTTTAATGACTTTATGGGCCGTCAAGAGCCAGTCCCTTAAGAAGCCAATGGAAGAGTGATCCAGCTCTCAGATTCAATCAAAAATATCTTTATTTGTGTTCTGAATATGAACGAAGGTCTTACGGGGTTGGAACAGCATGGGGGTGAGTAATTAATGACTTAATTTTCATTTTTGGGTGAACTAACCCTTTAAGCTTGATATTTGGACATGCTGCTGGCCCGAGTGGTCAGGGGTGTTCACTGACAAAGTTTTTATCGTAGTTTTTGTCCCAAGTCAAGTCAATGGAGTTGGACAAAAACTACAAAACCTGTTGGAAAGCATCTCAGTGAAATCTCACATATCAGTGAATACCCCTGACTACTCGGTGAGTTTCACATCTTTGGTGAGTTTCACGTCTTCTCAGGGCTTCCTTGTCCTTTAAAGCCCAGAACACACCAATCCGACGCCGACGAACTAGCGCTGATGAATGCCGACTGTGTTGTCGCCTCTCGTCCGCTTTCGTCTGGGTAAAAAGCTGCACTTGAACACACCGAGGGAACTGCAGCCGACTGTCAGCCATAATGTGTGTTTTGGACCTGCGTGTAAATAAGACAACTGTCTATTTCTGCAGATATATTAGTCTATATTCATTATTCAAAAAGGAAAACCGACGCTGCCGGCTGCAGATACACATACCGTAAACAAAGCAGCACGTGCTTACCGTTTTGAATATCAATCCTGCTAAACACTTTCTTTATTCCACTGCGCTCTTGTTAATATTGAAATATTCGCCAAGAAACACTCAGGTGAGATGACGCAACATAAGAACAGCCTTCTATCTTTACCGTTTTGACCTCTTTGCTTGCTGTTTTGCTTTTATTCTCGTGCACTGATGCTTTCACTAAGCTGAACAGCCAATCAGAGTTCTCTCTTTCCCCAATGGCCCGACGCCGATTCAACATTTTCAAATCGGGCGAAACAAAGCCGACGAGGACTATTTTCAGCCGACGGCACAGAACCATGTGGAACACACCGAGGAAACTTAGTCGGCCGACGCACAAAAACTGCCCGACGGCCGATCGTCGGCTTGGTGTGTTCCTGGCTTAAGATTTAACAGACAGTATCAGTTTCAAATACTTGTCCCAAAGTATACATTGCTTGCATCCCATTCTGTCTTTGAGCACAAACACAAAAAGTTGTCTGTTGGACAATATGTTAGTACTGATTTTTCCGAATATAGAGTTTTCTAACTGAACTCTTTTTTAAAATACGGTAAACACACATTACAATGGTTCGCTGAAGACATTTTACTAAGTACAAGTAACATTGCAACTATGTCAACTAATTCTCAGAGTATTTGTAGAGGTGTTTGGGTTTCTAGGATAAGTTGACTTGTGCTTGCAAAGTTATTTATAGTGAGTAAAATGTCTGTTAGGGTGCATCAAAATAAACGGTAACACTTTACAATATGGGTGCACTAATAAGCATTAATTCATGCTTAACTAATGCACAGATAATACTGAATTAATGTGTAACTAATGATTATTTAAGCTATTCATTGATGATTACTACATTAGGAACTAATTAAGAGTCTGTAAGTTTAATGTATTAGTTCATACATGAATTGTTATTTATTAAATATGTAATTGTGGATTGATTCCATAATAACTCATTTTTTAACAAATAGTGTGAATTAATATGTTAATTACCAGAATGAGCCAAAGCCTTGTATTTCAACTTCCAGATAATATGACAGGTACACTAATAAGCATTAATACACGATTAATCACTTCATTATTAGTGCAAATTCATGTGCAAATTACTACAATTACTAAATGACTAGTTAATAATGATGTGCCCCAACAAGTAAAGTCATAACCTTTGCAGATCATCAGCTAATGATTAATTAAAGCAGACAACTGTAAGTTGAAGTGCATAGCTTTGACTAATTGTGGTAAATAACACATTAATTTACACTATTAGTTAATAAAATATGTTCTTAACGAATTAATACACAATGACACATTGAATTAATAGCAATTCATGTTTTAATCTATTAATCATATAGACTCTTTATTAGTTGCTGATGCAGTAATCATTAATTAAAGGTTTAGTTCTTCATTAGTTATACAACCTGTGCATTAATCAAGCATGAATTAATGCATATTAGTGCACCAGTATTGTAAAGTGTTACCAAATTATCTGTTAACAGATATTAATCAGGCAGTCTTTTAATGAGAATTAATTGACATGTAGTTGCAAAGTCACTTATAGTAGAATGTCTAAGTGGACCATCGAAATGAAGTGTTACCCATATTTTAAAATAAGCCTAAAAATGTAGCACACTATTTATTATTTAGTTATTCATAACTCATTCACATTCATACAGACGTCATACAAAGCAGGAACTTCAAATACGAAAATCTATCATGAAGAGCATGTCACACAATCCAGCAGCATCTGTGTCGTGCAAAGTGTTTTAAGAGCTTAGGGATGTTCCGATCCCTGGGAAAAAAAACTCACAAAAACAAGAGCCGTCAATCACAGCACGGGGGATGGGTTATTAGGACCCCGCGCCCGCTTCGAAAGCACACACGCACACACAGCAGGCTTTGACCCACAGGGTTAAGGTCACCTCATTTACCCCAAACATCATGTCACATTTAAATACGCTTCCCCCTGAACAGCACGGGATTGTGGCTGGCCGATGCTCTTTTTCTCACAGACGTCAATGCTCTCTTTTTCCTCTTACACTGTTTTCCTCTCATTTCCTCTGGCCCTCCCTTTCTTCACTCTTAACCTCTCACACTCAGTACTTAGCAGTAAAGCATGCTGCTATTCAGATAAATAAAAGAAAGGTTTGACCCTGATCAAATAAGTGATTTTTAAAGTTCTTTTTCTCTTTCTTTTATGTCAGATGACCTACAGACTATTAAAGTGTATATAAATTAATAAAAACATCTACTCACTCCTTCCCAACTGAACTAATGGAACTGAAATGGAAATATTTAGCAAAATGTCCACAATGATCTTTTCAGTAGATACAAAAGTGAATAGTGAGCAGTGACTTTTAAACATTAATGGCTTGTATGGCTTCAAAAGACTATAGCGTGCACATGGACACGTTGACTACTTTTACAGTGTTTTTTTATTATTATTTTGGCAGTGTTTGGGTGAACTAACCCTTTAAATAACATACTGTGTCATTGCTAGATCGGATACGTTGGAGTCTGAATGCACAGCCCTAACTGACCCAAAACCACAGCACCACACAAACACTGACCTCACATAAAACCCTAACTCTCTTTTCTAGTAAGAGACGGATTAAAAGAGTAAGAATCTTAGAGGTGAAAGCAGGCAGCATGGGCCTAAAGTGAGCAGGTTTGTAATCCCTTTACCTAATAAGATGTCTTCATTGAGCGTATTAGAGCCCAGTGAATAACCCCAGCTGACCCCTTTTTCTTTCCCTCCTTCTTGCACTTGTTTTCCCTGTCTCAGCTGCAAATATGATAGTTCTGCATTTTTACTGCAAGTTATTTACTTTTGCTAATCATTAAAGTTAACGTTTAATCTTGCAACAGTGATAAATGTATCAAATGCAATCAATCGCAAAAAAAAAATAAAATAAAAATACAGTGGCTGAGAGAGATCAACTGAAGAAAACGCATGCAAATAGAACCTCCCCCCAGCATATTAAGAAAACATCTTCATCAGTTTCACAACATGTGCTGCAAATACCAAATACAGAATCGCACTGCAAACACTCACAATGCAACCAAATACAGAAATGCGCAGAAAAAAGCACAAAGCTTGACATGCTCCAACTGAAAAACCCCCACATGCGAATAGAAAAAAAACACCAGCAAATTAAAACATCAGTTTGACAACACATGTACTGCAAATACTCACAATGCAACCAAAAACAGAAACTCACAATGCAACCAAATACAGAAACTCTCAACGCAACCAGAAACAGAAACTAACAATGCAACCAAATACAGAAATTCACAACGCAACCAAATACAGAAACTCACAATGCAGCCAGAAACAGAAACTCACAACGCAACTAAAAACAGAAACTCATATCGCAACCAGAAACTCACAACGCAACCAAATACAGAAACTCACAACGTAACCAAATACAGAAACTCACAACGCAACTAAAAACAGAAACTCACAACGCAACCAGAAACTCACAACGCAACCGAATACAGAAACTCACAATGCAATCAAAAACAGAAAATCACAATGCAACCAAATACGGAAACTCACAACGCAACCAAATACAGAAACTCACAATGCAACCAGAAACAGAAACTCACAACGCAACCAAAAACAGAAACTCACAACGCAAACAGAAACTCACAACGCAAACAGAAACTCACACTCACAACGCAACCAGAAACTCACAACGCAACCAAAAACAGAAACTCACAACGCAACCAGAAACTCACAACGCAACCAAATACAGAAACTCACAACACAACCAGAAACAGAAACTCACAACGAAACCAAATACAGAAACTCACAACGCAACCAAAAACAGAAACTCACAACGCAACCAGAAACTCACAACGCAACCAAAAACAGAAACTCACAACGCAACCAGAAACTCACAACGCAACCAAATACAGAAACTCACAACACAACCAGAAACAGAAACTCACAACGAAACCAAATACAGAAACTCACAACGCAACCAAAAACAGAAACTTACAACGCAACCAGAAACTCACAACGCAACCAAAACAGAAACTCACAACGCAACCAAAAACAGAAACTCACAACGCAATAAGAAACTCACAACGCAACCAAATACAGAAACTCACAACACAACCAGAAACAGAAACTCACAACGAAACCAAATACAGAAACTCACAACGCAACCAAATAGAGAAACTCACAACGCAACCAAATACAGAAACTCACAACGCAACCAAAAACAGAAACTCACAACGCAACCAAATACAGAAACTCACAACCCAACCAGAAACAGAAACTCACAACGAAACCAAATACAGAAACTCAAAACGCAACCAAATACAGAAATACAGAAACTCACAACGCAACCAAATACAGAAACTCAAAACGCAACCAAATACAGAAATACAGAAACTCACAACGCAACCAAATACAGAAACTCAAAACGCAACCAAATACAGAAATACAGAAACTCACAACGCAACCAAATACAGAAACTCAAAACGCAACCAAATACAGAAATACAGAAACTCACAACGCAACCAAATACAGAAATACAGAAACTCACAACGAAACCAAATACAGAAACTCACAACGCAACCAAATGCAGAAACGTGTTACAAATACTCAACAACACAACCTTTTTTCTGTATGCTGATGCAATGTGAGTATTAGCAGAGAATGTTGTCAAACTAATGATGGTTTCTTAGTTTACTATTTTTTTTCTATTTGCATGTCTTTTTTTCAGTCGCAGTGTGTTGAGCTGTCTCTCTCTCCACTAGTTTAGAAAAGTTAACTACACAAAAGCTGCAGAAACGTAGAGAATAAAGTTAAATATTTAATTTTAAATGAATACAATTAAATAAAATTGTATTCTATTTTTAGTCATTTTATTTTTAATTTGATTTATTTATAGATTCTATAGGAACATAATCAAGTATCATTTTAATTATTCCACCTTTGTTTAGAGGAACACTTGACTAAATATTTAGTTGGTGCAACACACCTTTAAAAACCTTGTAATCAATACTGAGGTCAACTTATTTGAATAACAATTGCTCAAGTGTGACTTTCCCACCGAATGAGGGCAGCTCTCTCTGTTTTTCTCAGGGTGGAGGATGTTGATTGTTGGCCCTGCCGTGCTCCGCTGTGGCCCTAGCAGATGTTCCTGTACGGCCTGCTGCGGCGTGCTGGTCAGTGTCTGACGCTCAGTCTCTCTGTTAAGGTCAAAGGTCCCACAACATCGGGAGACAGACCTCTCCTATGGGTAAGAGAGCACCATGACGCTAATAGATGCCGAGTTCAGTGTGTGTTTGTGTGTTGCGTGTTGCTCGGGCAAAAGGTTTTACCCCTATGAAATGGTTAAAGTTAAAATCCACTTACCACATTCCTCAACACCTGAACCAAGAGCTCAGACTGTCTGGGCTATTAATGTTGTACGGCCATAGCAAGAATAAAACCTTTGTAAACGCTGATACTAAAATACAGATGATAAAATGAAAGAATTAACGGCAGAATACAATTTAAAGATTGAACTTATTCATTTGAAAGGGCTGAGATTATGACTGGATGTTCCAATGTGTGCTCATATGTACTATAGGCAAATTATCTATGATAATCTGAGATATATATTGCCTTTTGTATGTTGGAAAGAGAGACTCCAGGAGAGGCTGTATTCCATTCAGATCAAAGACCAACAATTCAACCCCAGAAACACAGAGGGAAAACAAACACAGCAAAGCAAGCAAACAAATGGCTCAAAAGGTGCCATTTGAAATGTGTAGGATGCAAATTTTTAAATGATTAAAAAGAATAAACATGACTTGGAAAATGTCAAAATAGGACCAATACAATTTGTATTAGAATATACTGTATCATAAATCAGTCATTTAAGAGTGTCAAAGATAAATAAAATAAAAATAAATAAAAAACTTAAAAGTTAAAAAATATTTAGCCTAAATGAATAATACAATGAATAATAAAAATAAATGTTTGTGACATTTCACAAACATGTTTGCTGGTTTTAGGAGAGCTTGACATCAGGTCAGGCTTGGAAACCAGACCAACCATGACCAAACCAGCATCAGTTTTCTCAGCAGGGCAAAAGCCAAAACAATCAGATGAGAAGACAAAAAGATTTCCGTGAGCTTCCTCCTCCAAGAGTGATCTAAAAAAGCTCTAAATCAGATTAACAAATCAGCTCTAAGCTCTTCACTGCACAAATACACTACGTTTACAGCTGCTCCGCAAAGTACCCTCCCAGAATATATCTATATAAAATAAAGACTTATTTAATAATATTAGGTTATGATTGATGAAATAAGATGAAATACAAGGCCTGAATGTTTTTTTTTTTTTGTTTTTTGTTTTTGACACTGTCCAAGCCAAAGTTTGGTGAGTAACTTTCTGCAGCTTTAACATAAAATATTTGGCTATAGTCTGTCATGTAGTTTGATTTGAATCACTCTAACACACCTTATCATTACCTTCTGATGTTGAGATCTTCACTTAGGAAGTCTTCACCATCCTAAGATGCATGCTGAGTGTACCTATGGTCGTCCCTTGAGGGGTTAACCGTGTGTGTGTGGTAACACATTCCTGGTTGTTTGTGTAGAGTGGCTACAGCCCACTCACTGCTCTTTGACTCTATTACCCTTATAAGGCAGGCGGCACCATGGCAACCAGAGGGCTTGAATAGCAGTGTCAAATCCCTGAACACACAGACACACGCTCGCTCAACCGCCACTACTCAGAGAGAGAGAGAGAGAGAGAGAGAGACAGAGAACAGTGCAAGGTTTGTTGGCCAGTCACCACAGACGCTCGGGTCAGCTGTCTCTCCTGACTGTTGGATCTCATGATTTACTGATGAATGGAGAAAAGCAGGGGATGGGAAGTGGTAGACGGCTAAAAGAGCTTCGGATCAGTTCCTGGAAATGCTGAGGCCCCGTAGACCATACGGCCGGACGAACCGGCACTGACGAAACAAGGTACGGAAGGACTGTGTCGTATTTGGACTTTCCTCTGCATGGTCAAAATGTGCTTCCTTCTCTACAGTGAGAAGCAAGTTGAAAGGGCATTCTGGATTGTGTTGTTTAACAACGAGAAAGACCAAGGAACTTTCTTGAACTTTGATCCTTGAGGAGAAGGGTGGGGGCTGAGTTCTGTTTATCATTACCCAGGTTGCTGTCTGCATGTTTGGCATTGTGGTTTAGTGCTGTTTAGACAGTTTAAAGGAGGCAGCTTCTTTTGGATTGTATGAAGTTTAGATAACCTCAGATGATCTTTTTATTGCTCAGATGTTGCTCTTTCATAGTCAGAGGGGACTGGAGTTATCAGTTATCAACTCTCAGATGTTTCTCTTAACCCTTAGGGAAAGTAAAAGTAGACACAAATTAGACCACAGTTAAACCTTAAAACTATAAAATGGATGTTGATATCTCAGTTAACATGGTTTCTGAAGAATTTTAGGGGAAATGTTTGAGTTCAAAGACTTTGGTATCTTCAGAGAACACTGTTGGGGAACTCTTCTGAAACTTGTGAGATTAGTGGAAACTATCATGATACTATCAAGTGATTTTTCTTCTGTAGGTGATTAAAACCAATGAATACAAATAACACTGGCAGGTTGAGCCGAACCTTGTTGACCTGTAATGCCCGTAACCTTTCTAAACACAACGGCGTGTTTCTCAGCACAGAAGGAACTGGTTTAACTCGTTGGTTAGAAGGGGGCATGACGACTAGGCTTTCCTAGTGAAATATCACAGTGGCTGCGAGCTGAGAAGGAGTTTCATTTTATCCACGTCTCCGAGCTGTGCAGCATGTGGATGAGCTTGTCTTTTCCCCCGAAGTCTGGGTGCGTTTATGTGTAATTTATCATTTCCTGTGAAAAGGGCGAGGTAAGCTGTCCAACTCTGAACTGCTCATTGAATCAAAGGGATCTTGAGATCTTCAGAGGTTTTGTGGTTAGAGGACATGAAGAAAAGCAACAGGGATCAGCGCTCCCCTCTCAGGATTTTGATATGACATTTGGCGGCAATAACATGTCAGCCTGGTAAGCCTTGGAGGTCTTTCAAAGTGCTGTTAAACGTGTTTTTCCTCCAAGTCTGACTTGTTCGGCTTACTGTCTGCAGCTTAAAGGGATTCGCTCCGGGGCGGCTCTGAATTCTCGACGCGGGAAGGTTTCTCAAGCAGCTCCTGTTGGTGTACACAGAGATGGCCATGGTGAGCGGGGGATGGGCCAACCCCAACGGCAGCGCTAATGGACTCGCTGAGAAAGGTTACCTGCGGGGGGAGGAGGAGGGGAGCTCGCCCCGGGCAGGGACCAGCGACGTGGAAGGCGGTGAGGAGGACAAGGCCTGCGTGGTGGACTGCGGTGTGTGCGGAGACAAATCAAGTGGCAAGCACTATGGCGTTTTCACCTGCGAAGGGTGCAAGAGTTTCTTTAAAAGGAGCATCAGACGGAACCTCAACTACACTTGCAGGTGAGAAACACAGATGCATTATCTATCTATGCATTTCTGTCCTCCATTGTTAAGCAAACAGGTTCACGTTTTCCCTCATAAATGACACCCCCCTTAACTGATTTGTGACTGGTAAGACACAACAGCCAATCCCACGCTCAGTTTCCAGATGTAGCTCAGCAAAGGAATTTGGCTGAACTTTCTGTGAACTCTGTTAACCTCTTACTCACGTTAAAAATAAGAGTGTCTGTGAGTGAACATTAACAACTCATGAATCAGAGCCTGTAATAGAGGAGATGAATAAATAAAGTAATCATGTTACAATGTTAATCGAGTAATAATTTTAAAATTTAGACCATTTTCAGCGAGTCAACAAATTATCAAATCATTTCTTACTTAAGCATAATCGTATTTCACCAGTCAGGTCACTTACGACTCAACGCCTTTGAAGAGACGACTCAACGCCTGCGATATGTTATGGCGCCGTTTGATTCATAAACAATATTTATATTTAATATTTATATTTAAACAATATGAATGTAAGCCAGAGGAGAACTGGCTTTTTTCTCCATCCAATCTGATGGAGTTTTGGTTCCTTGCCACTGTCGCCTTGCTTTTGGCTTGCTTTGAGCTTGCTCAGTTGGGGTTATTTAGTGTTTAGCAATGTTGTTGATCTGTGTTGTGCTACTTTCATGTTATCAGTGTGAAGCTGCTTTGATACAATCTGTATTGTGAAAAGCGCTATATAAATAAATGTGACTTGACTTGACTTGACTTGACTTACACCTTGTCCGAACCAGGTACAATGCAGCAAACGACTAGCCATACGAAATCGCATACTAGTAGGTGAAATAATTCTCAGTACTAGTAGGCAAAAGCAAGCAACATGATTTATGAATGGCAGTGATAATGACAACATGGCGAATGTTGTATGTCCCGATTACATTCATACTATAGAACACATAAAGTACTTACTTATTCAAAAGAAGTACCTACTCAAGAGAGTGTGTGATTTCGGACACAGCCAAGCTCTCCTTTATTGATGAGCATTAATACTGACAATGACAAAGAAACCGCAAGTCATTTTAAAAAGGTGCAACAAAGTTGAGCAAGAGTTCAAATGTATGAAAACAACAACAGCATGTCCACCAGTGAATTAATCACCAACAGTTCCTGATATCTGAGTTTTTGCAAACCAACTGCAAACTTAATTTTCTGTGATTGTGTTGTTCCGAGCAACATGCTACATTTCCATTTCCACAAAAATACCTAGCCATTACAGCTGAATGTTGCACATATACATGGTTGTCGAAACACAGTTTGTGCAAGTTGTGTGTAATCGGTCTCTTACAGCAGATCTAACATTAGCCCTGCTGCCATGGGAACTTTTGGAAAGAATGAACAGAACTGTGTCCTTTGTGTTTGTACCAAGGTTATACGACTGATAATTTACCTGAGAATCACTCGAGAGCTCTTCACACGACAGCTCATGAAGGACAGAGAATAATTCCCAAAACAAGCAATACATTCAGGTTAATAGTTGAAATAGTTTTAATTATTGCCGTGTATTAGTTTCCATTAGAGTTAGAATTTGTGTCTTTTGAACAATGACAAAAGATGTATTTTTCATCAATATTAAGTACAGGCAAGTCACTCTTGTTTTAGAAAAACTAAACAATTTATCGTAAATTTACTTGTGCAGTTGTACCAGTTTGACAATTAATTGGAAGACACTTACACAATCCAAGATAATTTATTTATTTTTTCATTCATAAAGGTGATTGTGTCTTAAATTACAGTAAAGCTGATATGTACTTAAGACTGTTTTGTGTAGTTATGTCAAGTCTCAATATAACAATATTCCCAAGATATCTTTATTCTACACAAAATGTTATTCATTTTGGCCTTTCATTTACACGACAATGATGTTTTGGGGGCCTGAAAACGCAAAGTTTTAAAATGGGAATTCAAAGTTTTTAAAAACGTTACCATTATCGTCTCTTGTGTAAACTATATAAAAAAAAAAAAAAACATTGTTAAATGCGTATGCGCATATTCAGTCTTTAGGATGGTGTTTCTTTAGAAAATGACATCGGCAAAAACGTTGTCGTCTGTACATGAAAATCACAGAGGAAAAACTTAAGTACTGATTTAGTACATTATTGTCCAGTAAACATACCCCAAACAGACATTTAAATCATATTCAGGGAACACATTTTTTAAATTTGATTGAATTAAGAATTTGATCTTGTTTTAATCATGCAACATGACAAAACAAATTCAATCTGTAAATGATGTTCACAACTATTTACAGTTTCTCTGTTTATTTGAACGCTCATTATCTTTGGAAAAGTGCTAAATCTTAATTACTCTTTGTTATCTCGTGTACTTTCTCGGCTCAAAACTATCTAAATTATCTTCACAGGTCAAACAGAGAGTGTCAGATTGATCAGCACCACCGTAATCAGTGTCAGTATTGCCGTCTGAAGAAGTGCTTCCGGGTCGGTATGAGGAAAGAAGGTCAGCAAACCAGTAATATGTGTAATGTAAACATTGTACATACATTCTTGTTTATTTTTACTAAATACCTGACTGTTACTTGCATCATCAGAATAGGGAGTTATTTGTTTCTAATATGTTGGATTTTTTATTTTAAATTCCAGCGGTCCAGCGTGGTCGAATTCCTCCCTCACACGCAGGCATCAGCCCAGCCTCCATGGTTGGAGCAGGCGGTGATGTTGGAGGAGGTCCGGGCATGGGTGCTGATTTCTATAATGGTCAGCCAGTGTCTGAACTCATCTCTCAGCTACTGAGAGCAGAGCCGTACCCCAACAGCCGCTACGGAGCCCAGTGCGGCCAGCAGCTCGCAGGAGCCAACAGCTCCATCATGGGTATTGACAATATATGTGAGCTGGCAGCCCGACTGCTCTTCAGTACCATAGAGTGGGCCCGGAATATTCCGTACTTTCCTGACCTGCCCGTGTCGGAGCAGGTGGCTCTTCTGAGGCTCAGCTGGAGTGAACTGTTCATCCTGAATGCAGCTCAATCGGCTCTGCCCCTGCACACGGCCCCCCTACTAGCAGCTGCTGGTTTTCACTCCTCCCCTATGCCCGCTGACCGTGTTGTGTCCTTCATGGACCAGGTGCGGGTCTTCCAGGACCAGGTGGACAAACTGGGTCGACTGCAGGTGGATTCTGCTGAATACAGCTGTCTGAAAGCCATCGCTCTTTTCTCACCAGGTGAGTGATGAACTCATGTTAAAAATATGTTCCAAAAGTACAGTCTCGTTAGCCTGGAAAACTAGACGCACCCTAGTGGCAGGAAGTTATATTTTGCTGCGAGTTACGTCTAGCAACTCTCCATTGGCTTGCGAGCTGGAAAAAACAAACTCTAGTCAGGCCAATTACATTGTATATGTGTAATGTGTAATGATATCATTGTGTATAAGCCCAATGTGGGCTTAATATAATGACGGCAGAGTTGCAACGGTTCTGCGTGAATTTCCTGCTTCTTGAAACCAAAGAAGATGACTGCTGCTGCTGCTGCTGGCGAACAGTCTTTCGAATTGGCTTTGGCCACAACTCTTAAGCTTTTCTTTTAGAAAAGAACAAAGAACGGCACTGAAGTCATTCTTAAAGCTGCAGTCTGTAGCTTTTTTGGGTTAAAAATTATCCAAAATACATATTTGAGAAAATACATAACCAGCCAGCGTTCAAAACTATCTGCTTGCCTTAGCTCGATTTAAAGTGGTAAGCTTGTAATAATGCTTTTAATTCCAGTGGTACTGGTGGACAGTGGTACGCGGGAGATTCAAGCATGTCTTTGCATCATCTTTGCGTCACATCTGTACACATAAAGAAGAGTCTCGGCTAGTAGGCTATATTGAGTCATTACGTCACATCTGTACACATAAAGAAGAGTCTCGGCTAGTAGGCTATATTGAGTCATTACGTCACATCTGTACACATTAAGAAGAGTCTCGGCTAGTAGGCTATATTGAGTCATTACGTCACATCTGTACACATAAAGAAGAGTCTTGGCTTGTAGGCTATATTGAGTCATTAGGTCACATCTATACACATAAAGAAGGAGTCTTGCTAGTAGGATATATTGAGTCAATACCTCACATCTGTACACATAAAGAAGAGTCTCGGCTCGTAGGCTACATTGAATCATTACGCCACATCTGTACACATAAAGAAGAGTCTCGGCTAGTAGCTATATTAAGTCATTACGTCACATCTGTACACATAAAGGAGGAGTCTCAGCTAGTAGGCTATATTGAGACAATATGTCACATCTGTACACATAAAGGGGGAGTCTCGGCTAGTAGGCTATATTGAGACAATATGTCACATCTTGTTCACATAAAGAAGGAGTCTCGGCTAGTAGGCTATATTGAATCATTACTTCACATCTGTACACACAAAGGAGGAGTCTCGGCTAGTAGGCTATATTGAGTCATTACGTCACATCTGTACGCATAAAGAAGAGTCTCGGCTAATAGGCTATATTGTGTGAGGATGTTGGAGGTGGAGATAGCCTTTTCTCACAGCACTTGATATAATTAAACTTATCAATTTGATGGCGAATCCAGAAAAGTTCAAACGGCAATCAACAGTAACAACAGATTCACCCGCTGTAAAATGCAAAATACTTCGTTTGGACTTCGGAGTGGCTACAGAAAAAAAGAGACTGAGACGGACCCATGCGGAAACAAGGATACATATCGGAAGGACATTACATGTAGTCACGCAGTGCTTGCTTACATTGTTAACATTTACAATTTGAGAACAAAGTATAATTTGCACGGTTTTGTGTGATATGATAACTTATAAGCGATTCAGAATTAATCTACTGCAATGTTAGAACCAGAACAAAAGTGGATGTTTCTTACTAGTTCAGATGACATTTTCCGGTGAAAATTCTTGTGTTGGTCATGCTTCCAAAAAGAAAAATCTGTGATTCTGAATGACAGTATCCACATCGGCGCTGTGACTGACAGCCTCATAGTCTCCTCAAACATTTTGTTCTTCCGCGCTGTGCCGCGTCGAGGGTGTTAATGACCTATTCAGTAAACACATAGCAACATGCTAATACCCCTCAGAAAACATTAGGAAATGCTTAACAAAATGCTAAAACATCTCAGAACATGTTTGTAAAGGTATAGCAAAAAGTTATAACCTCTCATAACACGTGAATGCAGAGCATCATTACTAAACCCCTCAGTACAAGATGTTAAAAAACATTCAAAACATGTTAGTAAGTGCATAACTACATGTTAAATCACTTAGAACATGTTTTTAAAACATGCGAATAATGCTAAAACCTCTCACGATAACACATAGTAACATTTACTGCATATAGTAAATGCATATCTACATGCTAAAATCATTCAGAACATATTAGTAAAGGCATAGCTACTTGCTAAACCCTCTCAGAAAACTTTAGTAAAGGAATAAGAACATGCTAAAACCTCTCAGAACATGTTAGTAAAGGCATAGCAACATGCTAAAAGCCCTCAAAACACTGTAGTAAAGGCATAGCAACATGCTAAAAGCCCTGAGAACACTTTAGTAAAGGCATAGCAACATGCTAAAACCTCCCAGAAAATGTTAGTAAAGGCATAGCAATGCTAAAAGCCCTCAAAACACTGTAGTAAAGGCATAGCAACATGCTAAAAGCCCTCAAAACACTGTAGTAAAGGCATAGCAACATGCTAAAGCCCCGAGAACACTTTAGTAAAGGCATAGCAACATGCTAAAACCTCCCAGAACATGTTAGTAAATGCAAAGCAACATGCTAAAAGCCCTCAGAACATGTTAGTAAAGGCATAGCAACATGCTAAAAGTCCTCAGAACACTTAAGTAAAGGAATAAAAACATGCTAAAAGCCCTCAAAACACTGTAGTACAGGCATAGCAACATGCTAAAGCCCTCAGAAGACTTTAGTAAAGGCATAGCAACATGCTAAAACCTCAGAACATGTTAGTAAAGGCATAGTGACATATTAAAACCTCCGAACATGTTAGTAAAGCCACAGCTCAGGACATCTTAGTAAAGGCATAGACATAAGATGTTATAAGCGTTCATAACACTTTACAGGCATTGCAACAAGCCAAATGTCACTCTTCACAAACTGATTTCTAAAAAGTTAAGAGGCCAAGTCAGGCCAAGTGTTGTTATTTTTTAAGCTTATCTATCTTTGTAAAAGAGAAAATAACAAAGCCAAATATCCATTGCACTCACTGTTTAGTGTTTACTGTTATTTCACTTACAGCTGTGTTGTAAACTCTGTGTTCCTCTTCAGATGCATGTGGGCTGTCAGATCCGGCTCACATCGAGAGCCTGCAGGAGAAAGCACAGGTGGCCTTGACAGAGTACGAGCGCATACAGTATCCGGGTCAGCCCCAACGTTTTGGCCGACTCCTGCTGCGCCTGCCTGCCCTGAGAGCCGTTCCCGCCAACCTCATCTCTCAACTCTTCTTCATGCGGCTGGTAGGCAAGACGCCAATCGAGACGCTTATCCGGGACATGCAGCTCTCTGGAAGCTCCATCAGCTGGCCGTACGCACCTGGACAGTAGATGAACAATCAGAGAACTTGTTCCCATGTCCCATCTCAGGCTGCTCCTATGATTCCACAGTAACTGTGTGGATAGATGTTGTGTTGTTGGTTTTGTTGATTTTGTATATAGTGTATGCCTAAAAGAGGATGGCAAATATGTTCCTATGCAGTTAAATTGAGCCATTCAGTACCAGGATACCTCATGTTTCACATCATGAGCATCAATCAATTCAGTCAAAAACATTTGACAAGATGAATGATAAACAAAGGGCTGATTGTGAAGAAGTCCACTGATATGTGACACAGATGCAGAGTTTTAAAAGAAAAGTTTATAATAGGCTACCTTCTTCTCTTTTGAGACCTTAGTGAATTAGTATAGAAGTACATTAAGAATCTTTGTAACAGACTGAAATGTTGGGATATATATTTACTAGAAAAAAATCAATGGTGAACAGTCAATGGCTATGTTTAGAATGGAATACTTGCATACTGCAAACTGGGAATGTGGCTGAAGCCGAATACTATGTTCAGAAAGGAAATTATGCATTCTACAGAGGCCCCAAAAGGACATAGTGATGGAAAAAAAATAATGAAATGGGAGGAAAATATATTTCAATGCTTTTTGTCTTCCCTTGCAATTGGGAAGTTGGTGAACAGTTGGTGAATTAAAATTGTAGGCCTATATAATTTGCGGGTATCAGAGAGCCGCTACCAGTTCGCACCTGCAGGGTATTGAAATTGCTTTTGAACGCGTGTTTGCTTTTTTACTTTAACTTTCAAAATTGTGATCAATTGTTTTCCATGTATAGGGAGCAGCAGTACTGAACAGTGAACAAACATTTTACAAGATGAGATATTTGTCAGTAATGCTCAGACTCTCTTGAGCAAGAAAATCCATCCATGTCCCTTTAGGGGCTCCGTAGAATGCACTATTCATTTTCTTTCAGAATTTAGGCTTCGAGCACATTACTACCGCAAGCTGCACACAACTGTATACTGCTTAATATAAAATACTAAGTGAGACAGTATGAAATATGCAACCTTACGTGTTCTGAACAGTGCTATGCTAATTGTTATCACGGACATCATATTGCAGCATGTTTATCATCCAAATATGATACACTGCATTGTGGATTACAGTATTCTGTGCAGCGTGTTCTGCATGTATACACTGGCAAATGGCCACCCAGGTATTACATACTATGCACAATATATATACTAAGAAATATTATGAGTAGTATGGTAGTATGCTATTCCAAAACATAGACCATGTCTTGTCCTATTTAAACAGATCTAGTGAGTTTTTCATTGGGGTGGAAAAAAACGGTACAAATTTTTTGCATTTTAAAAATCAATGAGAAACAAACAAGCTCTTATGTAGGAAGACAGTTGCAATTTCAGCAGTGTATTGAAATAAAAGTCAAATAAACAAACTGCAAACAAGAGAAAAGGATTTTTGGTCCAATTTTTCGTCTGAATTTTATGACTATTGTATTTCCATTATTAGTGAAACTGCAGGCTTTGTTTTACTGGTCAAATACTTCAGGTTTAATAAAAGCATTACCCTTTGAATAAGAAGTACACTTTAGAATACTTTTAAAATTAGTACTTAGAATATAAATGATATACTTTAAAAGAATAAACTTAATTGCAAACTAAATGTAATGTTTTCAGACACTTAAAGGGGTTATTCATATTCAAGTTGATTGTACTGAAATGTGTTGGCAGTGTCTGTACACAACCATCAGATAATGATAAGCATCTATCCAGTGTTTTTGTTTAAATCTCCTTATATGTTTTCCCCTGCCTCAAACTGAGCCGTTCATGACATGAAACTGAAACGTATATGATATTTGTCCACTGGTGTGACTGTCCGGGGTAACGTTCCTCATCTTAAAACTACTTTAATTAATTGAAAAATAAGTCTAAACACATTAAAATACTTGAATAGATATTATAGTGTTAACTTATGGAAACTAAAGGATATATGTCTTAAGGTCCCCATTTAGAATAATTATGACATTACATTTTGTACGCAAAACTGGTGTCCACCTGATGTGAGTGTGACGCCATTCTGTAGAACGGGCATTCATTTTGGGCACCCTATTAGAGAGAGGGGCCATTCTTCATTCAGGAAGTACAGTAGACCTCACTGGAGCACATGAACTGCACACAAGATGAGTTCTGTTTCAAATGTTTTGATAATATTGCACTGCTGGAAATGGGATCCATTATGCAGTCCTTTGATGTGATGTAATTTAAGTATTGATCTGAAATTTTTCATCAATTTATATTGATTGACTACTGAAAAAACTGTAAACATTAACAATTTTAGTCAGGATTGAAGTCTGTCTCTCATATAGCTAGGCTGCAAACTGGCCTTGATCTTGAAAACTTCCACTGGTGTGACAGCACTGTCCTATAGTGTGACATGGAAATGGCTAGCCTGGCATGCCAGACCTACATCATGTTCATGTTAGGTCTGGGAACTCATCATTGACAGGGCTCAATCGGAGCGGCGGGATCTCTCTGCACGCAATTGGATAGCGCTACAACCAGAGCAACGAAGAAGGTGACGGCTGAGTCCCATGTGGAAAAATGTTAACAGTACTGAATATTAACAGATACATTTTAGTTTTTAAATACATATTGAGTTTGAGAGATTGCATTTGTAACAAAATATGCATGTTCAAACCATACCTCAGAGAGATATCATGGAATGTAATCACAACTATATAACATTTTTAACCCCCCAAAAAAGTGGTTATATTGTGAATATAGACTTTATTTAACATGTACAATTTTAATAAATTGTTTTAAAAATAAAAATTTTGTAATATCTAAGAAAAAAGTAGTGGTTCCTCAAATTCTGTGATGTTACATCAATGGATGTCGCCCCTTGAATAAATGGGGGAAATCTGTTTGGACTACTTCCTGTTTGTAAAGGTCATTGCAGGTGCTGTTTGATCTAAGGGGTGCATGGGAAGTACATTCTTTCTTATTCATTTTGTTAAAGTTGGCTAAATTCCTGACAATATCATGTGTCACATTATTAGTGTCTGTAGTGTTATGTTGATAACTTGCAGATTTTACATATTTTAATCAACATTTTGATAAATGCATACTTATTAATATTTCCAGAATATCCCCTGATCTTGAAATCATCATGATGGTAGCCTCCATTTTAGAAAAGGATTTAGGCTTATTTGTCTGTGTTACTGTCTGTGGTGTTACTGTCTTTCCTGGTAACACCAGACTCTTAACTCCACAGACAATCTACCAGTAATGGTGTATTTTTAATAAAACACAGGACACCAGTAATCATATAATATAATTGTATCTTTCTTGTCAGGTATGGCCAGATTAACTGCTGCTGAAAAGCAGTGTCTTTATAGACAGTGTGGAGATGCCGACCCAGTTCGAAGAGCAGAGTTCCTTCAAAAGAAACAGCAGACCCATTTAAAAAAACATTCAGTGCAAAACAAGACTGAGAATAGGAGATCTCCCAGAGAGGGGAAAGAGAGCAAGGAAGAACTGGAGAATATATAAGGCAGAATACAGGGCAAGAAGCAGAATGAGATTTATTCACTGAAGATGTTTCCTATTTTAATTTTTTATTTTTATGTTTTGTATTAAATAAGTTTGTGGATACATTATTTATTCACTGTAGATGTTCTGAATTTGTTTTGTTGTTTAATGTTTTGTGTTAAATAGGTCTGTGGATACATGTTTTATTCACTAATGATTTTCAGATTTTTTTATTCTTTATTGAAACAAATTCAAACATTGTGATTGCAACAAAATCCATTGTGCAGACAATTTTTTTTTTTACAATTTTTTATATTTGTTAATGCAGTTTTTGTTGAAATGTTCTTTTCTCAGAGCAATTACTTCTTGTAATCCTACTCATGATGAATTTCATTATTTTGCTCAAACTTTTAATCGTTAAACCTTTTATGCCGACATTTCTTTCCTTCAGAGCCATTTAATCTTAGAATTTAATGTTTTTAGACTGTAAAGTGGGTTTAACTGGGATTACTGCATATGAGCCCTCTACAGCACTGGCTGAAACGCTGTGTGCCAGCCCATGTGTGGCGGTAGAGGTAGGCATAGATTTTTGGCATTTTTTTTTTTTAAATAATCGGCATCAGCCAATATCCAAGTATATCAAGCCGATTATTAGTCAGGCGCATCTGTGGGCAGCCTAGTGTTGTCGTGGAACACGTGTTTGACGCACGCTGCCGCTAGTGTCATTTTCCAGCCGAGTGAGCAGCAGACCTATATGAACGTGTTCATGAACAACTCTGACCGTTAGTTAGTAGCTGGATGAAACATGGTTAAAATGCTGGCCAAACAGTGTAAAGTGTGACTGTATTTCACTGTAGATTAAAAGGTCCAACAGCGGGATGCATTTAAAGTTTTTGTTTTTGTCGTTCAACAGCAATTTACTAGTGAAATACGTTATTGTTAGAAGTTAAATTAAATAAAATATAATAAATCTTATATATATATATATATATATATATATATATATATATATATATATATATATATATATATATATATAATTAAATAATTTTAAGTTTTTGGGTGTGGCAATGGGTGTGGCCTCCAGGAGGAAGGCAATTTTCATGGACGCCACCAACCTAGGTTGGGGGGTGCTGTACAAGGGTGAGCCTGTCTCCAGCTTCTGGTCGAGCCTGGAGAAGCGCTCACATACCAACTGCCTCGAAATGAGAGCAGTCTGTTTAGCACTAAAAGCGTTTCTGCCAGACCTGGGAGAACACCACGTCTTGGTCTGCACGGACAACATGTGATGTTCTACATAAATCGCCAGGGCGGCCTCAGATCGAGCAAGTCATGGCCAGAAACCTCGTCTTCTAGGCAAAAGCACCTGCTCTCTCGGAGAGTTGCTCACATCCTGGGCATCCTAACTCTGGGTGAGGACATGCTGTCTCAAGACAACACTACCCCCGGCGAGTGGTCTCTCAACCCACAGATGGTCCGTCTGATCTAGAGTGTGTTTGGCAGGGCAGAGATCCCCCTCTTTGCCTCAGAAAGCAGCACTCATTATCAAGGACCTCCATTACTCTTGCAATAAACTGTTTGTAACCCTCAGGTCAGGCAGACGCCTGCGCTGTCATGAAACACGCAGAGAGGATGGGGAACAGTTTTTTCCCTGTGGAAATCAGAGCCTTGAACTCTGCACTCTGAACATTTTTTTAACTTTTAATACACTTTCAACATTTTTTAACCCAGCCACTGAATTTTAACATTTGTACATCTGTCTTTTTAACTTTAGATATTATAGTATTCTTTATTTCTAACTATTGCAAACTGACTGCATTACTATTGCACATGTAAAATAGTCATAAGCATAATTTAATCATTATAATTTCCACTATAACTTAATTGTATTGTATTTATTGTATTTTTATTGTCTTCTACTTCAATTGAGCACAGAAGTACAGTACGTCACAAAAACATTTCACTGCACATCTTGTATGAGTATGTGACAAATAAAAACCTTTGAATCTTGAATCTTTGAATCATACAATAAGATTCCATTTTTATCATTAACTAAGGTTAATACAAGTTGTAGAAGTTTGTTAATTTCAACATTTATTAATTTATTTGAAATTGAGTTTAAATAATTTCATCTGTTATTACCTTAGTTAATGTACTATGAACTAACATGAATATAAAGTTACAATTGTTTACAAATGGACTTGCAAAGTGTTACCTATGAAATGTACGTATGTTTCTAGGTTATAGCAAACGAAACCTGTAATATTTTCTGTATAAGTTTTAATATATTCATATTAATAAATGTATTTAATTTAACACATTTCAGTTCAGCACTGTTTTATTGTGAGTGTTATGTTTGGTTTTAATCCAGTATCCATTTAAAACAATATCACTGGAATTATTGATTATCGGCATGTACAATCGGTATCGGGTAAAATCCGCTATCGGTTGACCACTAGTAAAAACGCTGTCTCGCAGTTGCTGAATATTGCAGAACAACTGTTGCTACAGCCCTGTCACTTCTTACAATTCTACATTGTTACTGTCACAGTGTCTGGTTTGTGTTTCCCTGGGTATCCACTAGAGGTCCTCTTCCCCCACCAGGGCCCCAGACTAACTTTTTTCCCCTCCGTCCTGGAACCGTCCTGAAATCGAGTTTTTGTCCCGCCAAAGACTTACAGGTTCTCAAAAAATTTGCATATTGTGATTAAGTTCATTATTTTCCATAATGTAATAATATAAAAATTTAACTTTCATATATTTCAGATTCATTGCACACCAACTGAAATATTTCAGTAGCTCTAAACGAGCTATTAACCTAATCATCTGAATCAACTAATTAACTCTAAACACCTGCAAAAGATTCCTGAGGCTTTTATAAACTCCCAGCCTGTTTCATTTCTCAAAAGCGCAATCATGGGTACGACTGCCGACCTGACTGCTGTCCAGACAACGCATTCTCACCCCAAGGCGTCACCTTTGACCATGCTTCAATATTTGACGTTTTAGGCGCCCTTTAGCGTCACTTACATGACGCGATCCTACGGCGTCATCTAACTGACGCTAAAGGAAAGCGTCTGTTAGGGGACGCGGTTAGGTTTAGGTGTGGGGTGGGGGTAGGGTACACGCGATCCTAGGGCGTCATCTAACTGACGCTAAAGGGCGCCTAAAGCGTCAGATATTGAAGCATGTCCAAATGCTTCCCAAGGCGTCAGTTAAGTGACGCCTTGGGGGTGAGAATGGGCTGGTCCAGAAGGCCATCATTGACACCCTCAAGCAAGAGGATTAGACACAGAAAGAAATTTCTGAACAAATAGGCTATTCCCAGAGTGCTGTATCAAGGCACCTCAGTGGGAAGTCTGTGGGAAGGAAAAAGTGTGGCAAAAAACGCTGCACATCGAGAAGAGGTGACCGGACCCTGAGGAAGATTGTGGAGAAGGACCGATTCCAGACCTTGGGGGACCTGCGGAAGCAGTGGACTGAGTCTGGAGTAGAAACATCCAGAGCCACCGTGCAATGTGTGTGTGCAATAAATCTAAAATATATGAAAGTTTAATTTTTATCATTAGGCCTACATTATGGAAAATAATGAACTTTATCACAATATGCTAATCTTTTGAGAGGGACCTGAATATAGTTCATTCCTGCTTCTTTTTTATGTTCTGAATATATATATATATATATATATATATATATATATATATATATATATTATCCCCATTATTAATAAAAATATTCCTAATACTTTTTCCAATTATGTCTTCTCCATTCATAAATAAAATCCCCATGAACAACTTTTAGGTTTGTGGTTGATCAATTAACCACCAGTAATTAGGTTTTAACATTGGAATTGTTGATAAACTTGTAGAATTGAAACTAAACTAAAACCTTGTGAAAGTGCAGCAGGTAATTTCACTATTCAGCATTCAGCATTGTGTGTTTTGTAGAAAAAGATGAAGGTGGCTTACAATAACGAATATATGCCAAAAACATAAACATGTCTCATTGTGTTTTAGTACCAATCTGATTGAAGTTATAGCTAGCAACTGAGAAAGCAAAAGAAAAAGGCAAATCAAAACTGTAACTTTATTATGGCACCACAGATATTACAAGACCATCACAGAAAAACAGAACATAATTAAAACTTCGGTGCTGTAACGTCTTGTTTACTCAGGCCTTAAATAGAAGTAAGTCTACGGGGCTGCAGCTGGATGCTATTGGGTAAATAGGCCACTGGAAAAAATGTTTGCCTGGCTGTAGCCTATGTCATAGGCCTATGTCACGACACAAAGTTCAGACAATTGAGCATACATATTTATTTTAAAAGAAAAGAAAAAAAGAAACTTGACTTTACAAAGAAAACAGTTAGAAAACATTTTCTGTGTTCGAAGAACAACGTTACACTATTTCCTGTGGCGCTTTAACACAAACTCGTGAATATCCATGTAACAGCTGCTAAGCTCCAACGAAATTCTCAAACACTGTCAGTATGAGCATAGCATAGTGCACAGTCGGCGCACGTTATCGGCAAGTCCAAAAATAAATTACGAAGGACTTTCTCTTCTTCCGTATTTCTGCTGGTGGTTCTTGTCTATGTGGCAGCCGTGTATACCAGTGAATTATAATTATAGTCGCATCAACGTTTTGACAATGACATGCTCAACTCAACTGACAAATATGATTAAGCAAATGAATTAGTCTACTCTAGAGACGAATAATAGTAAAGAAGTGGATGCCTTGGGCAGGCCAGGGGTGTGTTTAGTGCAGCCCAGCCCAACATTCAAGTCAAAGGGGAGGAACCGAACACCCTCAACTCACTCACATTATTATTATCTATGATTATTATCAGTGAACAATCACTGAAATAAACACCCAGGAGAACAAACAGGGAATAAAAGTTTTAACGAGCAGAAAATGTCGTTCATACCCGGTCAGCCTGTCACAGCTGTTGTGGTGAGTTTGCGATCAGTATGATCAAAGTTTTAGCATTTAAAGCTTCACTAGCATTGTGTGCGGCGCTTTGGTGGTTTTTAATTCTGACAGTGATCCATTTGATATCGTTTGACTGAGAAAGTGGTTAATTTAAACAATAGTGTTCCCCCAACACGAATCTATGATATAACAGGACAGTTTAGTTGAATTTAAGCTAACAATTGATTTAATGGAAATTGTTAGCATGCTAGGCTAACGTTAGCCAGGGGCGGACGAAGTGAACAATAGTTTTATTTATAAATAATTGGTTATATTAGTTTCTATATTTAGATTATAAATAATTGTTGTGGGACACAATATAACGAAACCAAATGTTTTAAGAGTAAAATACAGCTAAACCAGAGAGTGCATGTGGTCAATAATTATACGTTTAATTGTTTAAAAATGCTGTTGGAATGAGGCATATATAATTGTACTTAGCTCATTTGGGGGATCCAATTAATACAAAAAAGCACTAAAGTTGGGGTTTAAATGTCCAAATTTGAATTGTTCTGATGTCACTCAGGTGTGACGTAATCAGGTGTGGTTCATGTGTTTCAGGTAGGTAGTGCTGCCATATATGGTCATAAACAGCTGTGCTGTAGGATGTATATGGTCATAAACAGCTGTGCTGTATGGTGTGCCACCTACCTAGACAGCATTTTTGGTTATCAGCCTTTTTTGATAGCTAACTACATTTTGAAACATAAACTTAGTGGTGTGCCTGTTTTCTCTCTTTATTTCAGCAACGAATTGAAATCCAAAAACTACGGGAAGGCGATAATTTAATACTAGGATTCAGCATTGGAGGGGGAATCGACCAAGATGCAAGCCAGAATCCATTTTCTGAAGACAAGGCAGACAAGGTGAAAAATCATGTTTAGTAAAATTAATTCTAGTTAGAGTGAGGCATTTTTCCTTTCTGCTGTCTGTGTCTTTAAAGTGACTAGATGTCTGAAATGTAAACGGGGCATTTCCTAGTTCAGTGATCAAAATAGCATTGAAATCGGACACTTTTTAATCAAAAAACGGGGACAAATAAAAAAATGTATATTGTTTCCTGTTCTTTTATCATGGTTAATAAATTATGATGATTACATGCCAAACAGACTTCTTGAATACATTTAGGCTAATCAAAATCGCACTATGAAAAATAGTAACTATTGCAAAGAGCAAAATTGATCAAAACTATATAGTAACAAAATTATCACATTACAAAACCACATTACAAAAATATAACATATATGACTTATAAGATAAATAAAAACTAACAATTTTTTTTTCTAATTCTATTCAATCTTGTCATTTTCACAAACTTAATATACTCTACACTAATTAATGTTGTTTTCTAATGTTATATGTCTGTTCTTTTGGAAGTGGATCTTTACACCATAGTTAAGCTTACTGCATTGTGATGGACTTTTGGGAAAGTTTAAAATTGTGTGTAAAACAATCCCACATCGTGTTATCTAGTATACATGTATTTTGAAATCTCAGTTATTATCAATGAAATAAAAAATGGGGACAATATATTCTTGCATGTTTTTTTTTTTTTTAATTGTTGTGGGTATCGTACTTTTATTATATTTGTTGTATTATGATATTTGCAGGGCAAACTGATTTTAACTGAACTGGTTTTAATGAAATTCTTTAAAAAAACCCCACCTTAGTTGACGTAACAAAAACAAAAAATAAAGTGCCCTGACAACACAAAAAGTATAGTTTCAACATGAATAGTTCACATCGAGGGCTTGGAGCCAGAGGGGCGTAAGTGGCATTTTGGGCGAATATGAGTTCTTGATATCATAAAGAAAGTACAGGTCTTGATGAGTTCTATCCAATGGTGACAAAAAATCTGGTTTCAAATCAAACTGTATTGAATTAAGCAACAAAACAATAAAGACCTGACACAAAAATGTGCGTAATATTTGGAGCCAGAAGGGAGTAGGTCCACTTATGCCCTTCTGGCTCTGAAAAATACATGTTGAATCCACATTTTTGTTCAGAGCCAGAAGGACGTAAGTGGGGTGGTGATGGAGCAGTGGATAAGACGCATGCCTTTGGTGTGAGAGTACCTGGATTCGAATCCTCTGTGAGACACCAATGTGTCCGTGAGCAAGACACTTAACCCCAAGTTGCTCCAGAGGCGTGTGACCTCTGACACATAGGCCTATAGCAATTGTAAGTCGCTTTGGATAAAAGCGTCTGCTAAATGTATAATGGAAGTGTATTTGGTGCCCTATAACAGCATTCAAAATGGCTGACACGACTGCAGACATGGAACTGTCTGAGGCAGAAAAGATTGATGAATATTATTAAACAAACTGATGAATCGAAGAAGTTGAAGATGAGTCAGAGTTGTTTTTGAATGCATTTCCTCACAAGAGTGATGACAGTAAGACACAATAATGTCGTGAGAGCCTTACCTTGTTAGCCTATTCTAGCCTAGCATGGCTAACGTTAAAGGGATAGATCACTTTGAAATGAGATGTGGGTGTCTTTGTTTTCAGCAGTAGTTTCAATTTTGATATTATTAGGTCAAACCGTTCTTGTCTGTCATATAATGCAGGTCGTATGGTCACCACCTCAAAGAGCATGCACAGAGAAGTCCAAATTAAACATGATTTAATGACTCATAAATGTAAGTACACATTGGTGGCCACATAATTCATGCTACAGTGGCGGTGTGTGAGTGTAGCTCAGAGTGTGTGTGTTGCACCTCCCTCTATTGGTGAAAATGATTACTAAACCATTGCTCTGGTAACCAGCAGGCTGTGTTGCTCTTGGTCATGCTTTTTGTAGTATAATGTGGGCGTTTTGAACGTTCTGTAAAACAGGGACATTTCCAGGGACTGTCCGGTTACCCTAATTCAGAGGTGACCCTTGTAACTGTTTTTATTTCACAGGGAATCTATGTCACACGTGTGTCTAAAGGTGGACCTGCAGAAGTGGCTGGTCTAAGGATAGGAGACAAAATTATGCAGGTGAGAGGCACAAACCTGTCATCCGTGTTGTAATGTTTTTTTTTTTTTTTTCAAAAACATGATTTTGTCAAAACAAAACCTCATAAAACTAAATGAATCTCCACAAGAGGGAGCTGTGACATTATTTTTTGTCTGTTTTTTTTTTTTAATTATTTTGTGACTTTTTACTTTTACTAAAGTGTGCCAAGGTACTGATCGAGAAATGTTTGTTTTGTAATTGTATGTACACTCACCTAAAGGATTATTAGGAACACCATACTAATACTTTGTTTGATCCCCTTTCACCTTCAGAACTGCTTTAATTCTATGTCACATTGATGGTGCTGAAAGCATTCTTTAGAAATGTTGGCCCATATTGATAGGACAAGATCTTGCAGTTGATGAAGATTTGTGGGATGCACATCCAGGGCATGAAGCTCCCGTTCCACCACATCCCAAAGATGCTCTATTGGGTTGAGATCTGGTGACTGTGGGGGGCATTTTAGTGCAGTGAACTCATTGTCATGTTCAAGAAACCAGTTTGAAATGATACGAGCTTTGAGACATGGTGCATTATCCTGCTGGAAGTAGCCATCAGAGTATGGGTACATGGTGGCCATAAAGGGATGAACATTGTCAGAAACAATGCTCAGGTAGACCGTGGCATTTAAACGATGCCCAATTGGCACTAAGGGGCCTAAAGTGTGCCAAGAAAACATCCCCCACACCATTACACCACCAACACCAGCCTGCACAGTGGTAACAAGGCATGATGGATCCATGTTCTCATTCTGTTTACACCAAATTCTGACTCTACCATCTGAATGTCTCAGAAATCAAGACTCATCAGATTAGGCAACATTTTTGCAGTCTTCAACTGTCCAATTTTGGTGAGCTCTTGCAAATTGTAGCCTCTTTTTCCTATTTGTAGTGGAGATGAGTGGTACCCGGTGGGGTCTTCTGCTGTTGTAGCCCATCCGCCTCAAGGTTGTGCGTGTTGTGGCTTCACAAATGCTTTGCTGCATACCTCGGTTGTAACGAGTGGTTATTTCAGTCAAAGTTGCTCTTCTATCAGCTTGAATCAGTCGGCCCATTCTCCTCTGACCTCTAGCATCAACAAGGCATTTTCGCCCACAGAACTGCCGCATACTGGATGTTTTTCTCTTGTCACACCATTCTTTGTAAACCCTAGAAATGGTTGTGTGTGAAAATCCCAGTAACTGAGCAGATTGTGAAATACTCAGACCGGCCCCTCTGGCACCAACAACCATGCCACGCTCAAAATTGCTTAAATCACCTTTCTTTCCCATTCTGACATTCAGTTTGGAGTTCAGGAGATTGTGTTGACCAGGACCACACCCCTAAATGCATTGAAGCAACTGCCATGTGATTGGTTGATTAGATAATTGCATTAATGAGAAATTGAACAGGTGTTCCTAATAATCCTTTAGGTGAGTGTATATTAAATATTCCTTTTGAATTTCTGGGTCAAATATCATTATTATTATTATAATGAATTGTCAAGTAGGCTAGACAACACTAGTCAGTTAGGAAGATTAGTGGATGCAAATACATATGTAGTAGTTTTTGGCAAATTAATGCTATGCAAACATACTAGTTTTATATAATTTTAAACTGCTACGGCAGCAGGGAAGAATGCAAGTGCAATAATTTGCGTTAATTTAATTTTAAATCTACACCGTTGAGATGGTGATATGGACATGCCTGCATTTACAGTTGTGATCTAAAGATAAGTTTACTTTACAATTATCAATCCTAAAATTCGGCATTTGTAACTTAATTTTTCGCGGCATCAGTCGCACACTCTCTCAAGCTCCGAAGATCTCCCGGTTCTTGGCTCATTTTAAGTCAGACTTGTCAATTCAGTTTGCCTAACCCACTTTGAACGGAACATTGATTCAGTAAGTTGAACTGTGACAGTTGGATCAGTCCAATAACCCAATTTGTGAATTAATAATTTGGTACGATTTTAGAATCGGTTTAACAGGTTCTTTGAAAAGAATCGTACACTGCTGTTCCAGGAATCATACACTGCTATTGCGTCATGTTTCACATGACAATTTCTTCAGTTCAAAATAACAAGTAACAGTATGTTTGTATGAAATGTATTGGAATAAAAAGTATGATATTATGCTTTGGAATGCAGTGGAGTAAAAGTATAAGTTTCTCAAAATAAAAATACACTTAATATTCTATATATGACCTGGGCCAGCATAAGCTCAACTGCCGCTCTAGGCTAATGTTAGCCGCCCCCACTGCAAACTCGATCAGTGTTGGGGTAACGCATCACAAGTAACTCAAGTTATGTAATCAGATTACTTTTTTTCCAAGTAGCTAGCTACTAGCTAGTAAAGTAATATATTACTGTAAAATTGTCTCAGAAAGATATCTGAGTTAATTTTTCAAATAAGTTCCACCTGCTCACATCTGCTCTTGGCATTGTAGTGAAATTTCACTAGTGAAATAACAATGTCTGATATTTGTTAAATTGTTCTAAAATGTTCTAAAACACTTTTATGGTGCTTTTTTGGGACATTTTATTGATCAAATATGCCCTTTTTGTCTGACATTTTCCCAATGTCTTGTGTTTGTCAGTTAGTTTAAAGAGGACCTATTTACATGTTTCATTGAAAAAATGTTTGACATAATCCTCATTTTAAAGGGATTTTGAAATAAATTTTTAATGTGTTTTAGCTTACCTCAAGGGCATCCAAGATGTAGGTGTCTTTGTTTCCACAGTATTTTCAATTTTGATATTTTTAGGTCAAACCGTTCTTGTCTGTCAGTCATATAATGCAGGTCTATGGTCACCACCTCAAAGAGCATGCACATCCAAATTAAACATTATTTTATGACTCATTATTGTAAGTACACATTGATGGCCTAAGACACGAAACGAGCGGTTTGTGTGAGAAAACGAACCGTATTTATACCGTTTTTACCTCCTGTAACACAGCCATGTCCAACTGATCTGACGGCACTGGCGCTTCAGTCTGTGCATGGTACGGTGCAGTCCACTGCATGGTACGGTACGGCTTCGGCTGCAGATCACTTATTGGTCAGACAGAATCGTCAGTACCAGCGTCCTTGTATTTGCGACCAATAGACATCGACACAAGAAACCAAACCCGCTATATTTAAATTGATCGATAACAGCGGTGGCTGTTACTGGCTGTCTATAATCCCACCCACTTTAAAGCGGTACTAAAAGCAACCGAGCTAAAGCGAACCGAACTGTGCCACGTCGAGCCGAGTCGTACCACGCAGTGGAAAAGCGAAGCGAGCCGAGCCGAACCGTACTGAGCCGTACCAAGCCAATTTTGTGTACTATCAATGTTATTTCTAGGTGAATGGCTGGGACATGACCATGGTGACACATGATCAGGCACGAAAAAGACTCACCAAGAAGAAAGAAGATGTGGTCAGGCTTCTCATCACTAGAAAATCCCTGGAGGAAACAGTCAGGCATTCCATGATGCAACACTAATGCACAACACACTCATTGAGCTAATTGAATGTCCTAATTGGTAAATCTCATGTTCAGAGCATATTTTAACTAATAAGAAACAAACAGCTTCCCTCAGCCAAAGAGCGTTGACAAGAAAGCCTTACTTGATCAGTCACCTCTGTTAAAGATCATTTGATGTATTGAACTGTAACTGAACTGAACCAGCGTATGTATGACTGATCACTCTCAAAGTACAATGTAAAGATTGTGGTTTGTGTTTCAGAATTTGCTACACTAATTTCCATTTATCTACACTTTATGCTAAATACTACTCTATATGTACTGCATATACTCCTGAATGTATCATGGTGCCTGTAAACTCCATATCATTTCATTCATAATCTCAAGGGCTACAGTGAATTGTTCACCTCATTTCTCTTTGCTTCATCAACAAATACAGCTACATATACAATAAGTATTAACAGCCAGAATACAGCGGTACTTTAATGACCACTAATTTTTCTAACTTGTGAGATCTGTTTTTACATTTTTTGTAAGTCTTTATCTTATAACTCTGTTTTTGTATTTAATTAAAACCCTTTTAGTGTAATATCATCTGATCAGGATTTGGCACAACAAAACACTATGGTTTTGTATTCAACAACACTTGTTTTGAAAATGTTTTTGATACAGATTTTTTTTTTTGTGGCATTTTGATTGTATGAAGATATATTTTCACTTAAGCGAATAAAGGAATCTCCTTGCACATGATTTGTGATTAATTGTAGTGAACGATTGAACTGAATGGAGTTTTTTCTGTCTCAGCTCTGATGCCTAATGAGTCTCTGATTGGGTCTTTGGTCAAGACTTTAAATGTCTCTGTCTTCGCATTAAGCTAGAAGATGGTGACATTTCAAAGCAATAAATCTATCCTGACCTTTTGCTGTTTGTCCAGGCAGTTTTGTACTTCAGGCTTCTTTCATCTCTTTAATGCTAGCAGGCAAAGGTGAGCACACAACCAGGTAGCTCATGATGCTGTAAAAGAGGGCTTTAAATTATAGTAAAAAAATTATAGTGCGGCAATAGATACAGTAAACATCTATATTCTAGGGCACTGGTGAGAGAGTTACTTTTTTGAACAGACTTACTTTTTGTTGAATTTGTAGATTCAATTATTACTAACATTAATTACTAACATTTTCCTTTCAAATTTAACAAATAGCATTCGGCTATCGAATATGCAGCAAGATTTGATCTAACCACCATTTGCATGTAATCGTTTAGCCGATGTTTACATGTAATCCAAAGTTTAAAGGTCTCGTATTATGCCCCTTTTCACAAGATGTAAAATAAGTCTCTGATGTCCCCAGAATGTGTATGTGAAGTTTCAGCTCAACAGATAATTTTTTACAGCATGTTTAAATTGTCTTTTTTGGGGGCTCAGAAAATCGCGCTGTTTTAGTGTGTGCCCTTTAAATGCAAATTAGCTGCTGCTGCCGGCACAGGGGTGGAGCTTCATGAGCTCACGCTCAGTCTCTCAGGACAATTACATCTCACGGAATGATGATAATATCAGAAACTCTCAGGGCACGTTTACACAAAGCCGGGTATTTGAGATATCCAGCTGCAGACCCCCAGCACCACCAGTTTCAGAACCCCTGCTCCAGAACCGGAAGTGAGGGAGGGGCGGAATTATTATTATTGCATTATAGTTATTTTAGCAAAAATGTAAGAACAAAATGGGCCTGAGAGTGAGTTCCTCATTTGATACATTGTAAGTTAAATGTATACAAGATTGTTGTGATAAAACAGGCCTAGGGTTGAATTGGTCATTTTCTATATTTTTATTGTTTCGTTTAAAACAATGTCGAAATTTCTCTCTCTTTTTTAGATTTTGACATTATTATTTTACACGAAAAAAAAAATGCATGCTGCACATGTTCTTGTGGAATAAAGTATATTTTATAAAAAATACCCATGCGTTTTTTTATTTTATTTTTTTTATTAAACAATCAAAATCATCTTACAAATACATATCTTCAAGTTTGTAAACAATAAATAAATAAATAGAACATAAAATATCACAGAGGTCTAATTAGTTATCGAATTGTGTATAATTTTGAAAACCTCCAATGCTTGTCTTGTTCCCTTTCGTAGTCACTCCGAGTTACGTCGCATGACGGAGAATGGGGGTTTCGCCTAGAAAGCCAATCCTCTTCGAGTATTAAAAAACGAGCCAATGGCAAAGACATGCCATGGGTCTGCGGAATTTGCATAGCGTATCTCCGCCTCACCCAGTGAGTATAAAAGGAGTAAGTGGACGCAACCGCAGTATGTTTTCGCTTCAGAGCCAAGAGAATCTCTTCACTCCACAAGCCAAATCCTGAGTGTTTTCAGTGACTATATCTCTTCGAGGCGAGCAAACTCTCTGGTGTTGGTGTGACGGCGATATCCAGCGAGTTTCACATTTCCTGCGATCAGAGCAGTGGTCTGCCAGTGTGTGTGTTTCTCCCTGGTCGCTTCAACATCCGCAGACTTTTTTTTCCTCTCACTAAAAGAGCTTGCATGTGGCACGTCTTTTTAAAGACGATCTGCCGTATATTTCCGAGTGCGGTATTCTGATAGATTCAGTTGATGGGCGCGAGCACTGTTTGACGTGTTTGGGCTTTGATCGCGCTCAGACAGCGCTCGTGGGTGTGTCACGTTCTCTCAGTGGAACATGATCATCGCAATGTATAACGGTCGAGACTCTATGAGCTCAATAGAGTGAGAGTCCCCTCATCCACAACCCGAACTATTTTTCTCCACGTGAGATGATATTTTGGCTGGTGGCCAGGGTGACCAAAAGACGTCAGGTCTGGAACTAAACCAACGAAAATCCTCGGTCCACACCCCGTCTTTCACGTTGCAACCCACGTGGTCCCGAGTGAGTGGGCGGGCCCGCGTTCTCATTTGGTCCCCCAGCTGATGAAATCATGTTTATCGCTGCATCACAAGGTGAGCTGGAGTCCTCTGGAGATGGCTCGTCTGTGCTTCTGTCCTCGGATGTGCTAGCATAGCGAGTTTGATTCAGAGTTCACAGCTATGCTTTCCCTTGCTGCCATGAGTATCGGGTTTGAGTGGAAAATTCTGCCATGTCCCGAGCACTTAAGGCTGAAGATTGGTTTTTGGGGGTGGCGAACCCAAGTCTTGTGCATGAAGAGGCCATGAGATCGTGGAAGTCTCCTTTGACTTTTCACGACCACTCAGCGGCCTCTTTCACCTTTTCTGCCCTCGTAGAGGCCGCAGTCTAGGGTACACTGGGGTTCCACCCTGTGGAGTGTTCTGTGGCAACACTTATGTGTCCCCACAGTGCCTCCACCTGGCGTGGCAACCCTAAGCACCCCTCCAATGCCTGTAGGTTCTTGTTTACTCCGGTGGCAGGGACCTATAGAGCTGTGAGGCAGGCTGCCACCTCACTGTGTGTTATTGCCATCCTTCTGGGTGTTTAATGACATGCACGAGGGTAGGGCTGATTCAGGGCTCATCCTTGAGCTGCCTGCCATCACCGACCTTGCTCTATGAGCGACGAAGGTGACCGCATGCTCCCTGAGTCAGGTGATGTCCACATGCATGGTCAGACATTTCTGGCTTAACCTGGTTGATGTGCGTGAGGCTGAGTGAACTAGTTTCCTTAACTTCCCCATATCCCAGGCTTGCCTCTTCGGCGGCGCGGCCGTGAACTCTGCCCAAAAGTTTTCATCAGCCAGAAGTGGACTGTGGCTTTTTTGTCTGACCCTGCGGCTTTCTGCTGCCAACCTGCCGCCGGCTCAGACGCCTCAGTCCGCTTGCCGCCGAATGCGCTCTCCTCCAACTTCCGCCCCCTCCCGCGCGGCCCCAGCAGCACCGGGCAATGCCATGGAGGTGGTCGTGGGGAGGTGGGGAGATATGGCTTGCAGTTCTTTCAGGGAGTGGTTGCAGGCCCACCCCTTCCTCCGGTGGAGGGCTGGGGAGAATCTTTTCTCCAAAGAGCTGCATTCCATCCCTGAGCACACAGAGCAGGATGGCAGTGTGCAACGCCCCTGTGCCTCGCCACTCTCGTCCTCCTCTGTCTCTGAGGGTGCGGATGGCAGTGCGCATCATCTCTGGACCACACCACTCTCACCCCCCTCTATCACCAGACCCCTGGCAGAGCAGACCCCCGTGGAACGCTGGTCCTTCCCTGGTCTCCTCTGTCAGGGCGCGGAGCTTGACTGTGCACGCGCGCAGGGTCGCTATGCCACCCTTCCCTGTGCCGGTCTCTCCGCCCGCTGCCCCTCCGAGGGGACGCCTGTGGCTCGGATGATTCCACTGGATCAGTTTTGGGGGCTTGGTTAGAGCTCCTCAGACTGTCCCGCTGGGTCGCCCGAGCTATCAGGCTCGGCTATGTGATTCAGTTCGCATGGTCTCCTCCCTGCTTCAGGGGAGTCCGCTTTACGATGGTCGATTCCCCGATCATGAGAGCGGAGGTTGCTACCCTGCTGGCGAAGGGTGCAATCGAGACTGTCCCTCCAGCCGAGATGAGGTCAGAGTTCTACAACCCCTACTTCATTGTCCCCAAGAAAACCGATGGGTTACGACCGATTCTGGACCTGCACGTTTTGAACCGCACACTTCACCGGCTGCTGTTCAAAATGCTCACGGCCAAACGCATTTTCGAATGTGTTCGGCCCCAGGATTGGTTTGCAGCGATAGACCTGAAGGGCGCTTACTTTCATGTCTCCATTTTACCTCGACACAGACCGTTTCTTCGGTTTGCATTCGAGGGACAGGCATATCAGTATGCGCTTCTCCCATTTGGGCTGGCTCTGTCTCCTCGCGTCTTTAGCAAGGTGGCGTGATTACACGGGGGACCCCCTTTCTCCATCATCCGACGTAACTCGGAGTGACTACTAAAGAGAACGTCTCGGTTACGTATGTAACCCTCGTTCCCTGAGTAGGGAACGGAGATGTTACGTCTCCCTGCCACTTCCGCTGTACCGCTGGGTAGACGCCTGAGTTCAGTCTCGGCTCCTCAGCGAAGACATACTGTGGTTGCGTCCGCTTCCTCCTTTTATACTCACTGGGTGAGGCGGAGATACGCTATGCAAATTCCGCAGACCCATGGCATTTCTTTGCCATTGGCTCGTTTTTTATAAATGGTAAATGGTAAATGGACTGCATTTATATAGCGCTTTCATAGACCTAATGGCCACCAAAGCGCTTTACATATTGCCTCACATTCACCCATTCACACACACATTCATACACCGACGGCGGTGTCAGCCATGCAAGGCGCCAGCCAGCTCGTCGGGAGCAGCTGGGGTTAGGTGACACTTGGTCAGGTGGAACCGAGGATTGAACCACCAACCCTTCGGTTTGTGGACAACCCACATGAACCACTGAGCCACTGCCGCCCCATTATACTCAAAGAGGATTGGCTTTCTAGACGAAAACCCCCATTCTCCGTCATCCGACGTAACGTCTCCGTTCCCTACTCAGGGAACGAGGGTTACATACGTAACCGAGACGTTTTTATATCTTTCAAAGCTTTATTATACAAAGATAACTCCTTCATAAAAAAAAACGAAAAACAAAGGTCTTACCTTCGTAAATCTACATGTAGCCTATGTATAAACTGCTTAGCTAAAAATATTAAACTGTTATACATTTGTCACGTCTACCTAGCTCACAGTAGCAGTGACATAGGGGAGACCACACCGTTTGTAAAGTTAAATCAAAAAATAGTTTATTTTAACATTAAATGAT